GTGTGGGTAGAAGTTGTGGTATGTTGTAATGGTGAGTGTGTGAGACTTGTGATCAAGCAACTTCTGTTCAAATGCTGCTCAAGCCATAATGTGTTGTGTTCATGGGCAGGGTGACATTGAGCTCTTACAGTGTCTCACTCTCTCCAGACTGAATCATGAATTTTCAACTGGTGGTTCGAGGGTTAAAATCCTTAAACCACCAAATTGACGATACGGTCTGTCAAGAACCAGACCAAATGCCATGGGGCTTAAAATGGCAAAAGTATAGAGTCTCATCCAGGGAAGTGAGGTGGAGAGGAGTGGCAATACTCCTAGTATTTTCATGTTACAAAGACAGGAACAAGCTCCAGCAGTATTGTGTTGGCTTGCAACTTCTGAATCAGCTTAGTGCCATGGAATCTTTATCAATATTTATTATTGCGAGAGAGGACTTGATTGAAGGATACATGTAGTATTTTAAAGATCATCAAAGATGTTTACCATGATATTTTTGCAGTGTTTGTAAGATTTTAATGATCTAATTTTGATCATTTTTTGGGCAGGATTGGATCTCTTCAAGACGGTTAGAGTTTCACTATTTTCACGGGATGTTCACTTCACCATTAGCCACATTTTGAAGACCTGTGGCATGTTGGAAGATTTGGTGACTCTCCATGAGAACAGTAGAAAACCAAAAGTATCTGTTGCATTGCCTTATGATGCTCCGCATCACTGGATGCATGTCTATCGACAGTTCAGTGACAGGGAAACTCCTGTGGACCTTGCCCAACTGCAGCGAAATGCAAGGCTGTCTTTAAAGGAATTCCTAAACAAGAACATCAAAGATGCAAAGGACAAACAAGAAAGCAGTAAAATGCTTTGGAAGGAAAACATCCTCTTGTCTGAAAAAATTTGCCAAAAACTAAAATTAAAGAAGCTGGAGTCTATCAGTGGCTGGTGTCACTCATCCTATCATGGCTCCTTGAAGAACGTTTTGAATCTTTGCTACTCAAAGCAGTCTGAAATGAGTAGTCTCAAGGGACGGACAGTTGTGTTTACAGACTGGACTGGAGTGGATCCTTGTGGGAATGTAATGTTGAATACCCAAGATGTTCCAGAATTTTGGTTATCGGTATGTCTAGCAGCCAGTATGACACTTTTATGCATCGTTATTTTTTATTAAAATTCCCTCTGAGAGAGACATTTAATATTTAATTTGCGTTAAATTAATTTTTCAATTATGTGTATTTTAAATGACTACTGTCTACTGTCAGTATTAGGTTGAGGGTTCTTTGAAGTGTGGCCCCAATAAATTCCCATTAACCCATCCAAGGAGGGGTATAAATGTGGAAATTCTAACTATGGGGAAAAGGTTTCTCAAAAGCCAAACTTTTTGTGGAGTATGTACCAAGACTGAACTTTCCAGAAGGATTTGAGCAGGGGGTGAGGGGTTCAGTAACAAAAAACCCTTTGTGGGAGGGGATATTTTATATTTTATCTTTTATCTTTTGTTTTTATATGTATACTTTTGTAACTTTGCATCTTGAATAAAGAATATATGTATGTATGTATGTATGCATGCATGCATGCAAAATGGCATAGTATTTAATGAGCTGAACTCCACATACAGTGATCTGGATTCCAATCCTTGCCCAGGGTTGTTGTATCTTGTTTTGGGGCAAAACCCTTTGTCTCCACAGTGTTACTCTCTACCTAGCCCCCCAGGCCCCACCCAATGTAACTGAGAAGTAAATAACTCGATGCATATTAATGTTCTTGTTGCAGCTTTTTAGTTCGTTGGAAGACTATGATGTTCTAGTCAATGAAGTGCCACTATGGGAGAGAAGGTTATCATCCTTACTTGGTGGCATGAAGATCAAGTTTGATCAAGAGTCGCCTTCTGTCTCGGTGACTGAGTATTTAAATCATTTGTACAGAGTGGTTTCTTCACTGAAGAGAGGACTGCTTGGACCTGATGCTACAACCACCATTCAGCCAGGAGAGTTTAAAGAGTTTACCATTAGAGTTCTGAGGTATGTTTCAGTGAATACTTTGATGAACATGCTAAAATGGCTGAGAAAAATCAAGAACCTGCACCATAAGATTGGTTGGCTTTGTTCACTGATGTCATAACTTTATTTGTCATACAGTGGAAATACGAATTTTTGAATGCTTGATAAACCAAACTTCTCAATTATTCAAAGCAAATTTTTGTTTACTTCTGCTGGCAAAAAAGTGTCTTTGAATCTTTAATTTTTTTTATCGAAGTCCATTCTGTAGGTGGTTCTAAAAAGTGGTAGTCCACAGTGTACTTTGGCCAGGAAAAAATTCTAATCAATAACTGACAGAAAGGAGTAATGTGTCATGCATGCACATTAAATGTTATGAAATCTTTTTGGTTTTAGCAATAATAGTACTTAATTAATTTTGATTTTGTAAAACATTTTTACAATTTCTTTTTTAATTATATTTTAGTCCTGCAGATTCACTGAGCTTGTCTCTTAGTGGTGAGTTTCGGATTCCATCTTCAACTCCAACAGAACTGATTGTGGATTTTCTCTTGAAGCACAAGCAAAAAGCTTTGGATCTTCATCTTGAAAATGAAAGGTAATGATTCAATATTAGAACTGCAGACCAGCTACGTTCAGAATCCTTCTGACTCTCAGATTTGGTCTGACTAGTTAAAGTCCTGGGGGGGATTCCCATAGTAGGTGGAGAATGCTTGTCGTCTTACTTAGGGGTGTAAATCAAGGATTCTGGTCTCACTTTGGGTGCTCATAATGAAACACCTGTCCACTATTTTTAGGTGTCAAAGTATCTTTCAGGGTGCATATCTGGAAAAATGTTCTCATTTCTGTTTTTAGGATACAATCTGTCCCATCACAGCTGGCTACATGAGTACATCATTGTCAATAACATTATCTTCGTGTACATAAATTTGACTGTGGACGTTAATTTATTCCTTTTTTTGTAGGAACCTGGTAACAGAAGAGGAAGCAGTTCAGATCTGCAAAGAGAAATTTCAGCTGTCCTCTCTATCCAAAGATAGATCAGTTTCACCTCTTCAAATGAGTGATTGCTGTGAAAGATTAAGCAAGCAAGATAACCCAGACCTGAACAATTCAATTCTCATAGTGTCCAAATATTATCACGTTAATGAAGATGGGCACATTAGTATTCCATGGAACTGGAAGTAGAATGACAACTGCTGTGGAAAATCTTGTGAATTTGAGTTTCAGAAAACTGCAAAATGGCTTCACAGAGTTGAGGCATCTTCAGTTGAAAAAATTGGCCAATTTTTTCAGGTTTGTTCCATGCAGTCTGTCTTATTAATCTTCCTCAGTCATAGCCATCTTTGTTTTTGTTGGTTTGTAGTATTGTTATTTTTTGGTGTCCTTTAATTAAAAGTAATTTTGTACATCAGAAAAACAACTTAAAAGAAATTAGAAGAGAGATAAGACAGTGTAAAAATAATATTTTCCTTTGCATTAAAAAAATTAACATTTATAAGTAAAGACAAGTCATGTTTATATCTAAGGGCCTGTTTACAAGAAGGGAGGGTTCCCTGGCTAACCGCGGCACCCTGGGAGAGCCAACTTTTCATGCGTTTCTTTAGAAAATGCATTTGACAGTGTTTTACATGCTAAACAGGATAGCCTGCCTTCCTGGTACCCGCTGTCCACATGCCCGAGGCATCCTTCTGTGAGGGCTATCTTTTTAACATGTAAACAGTTTGTGCTGGATTATCTGGCTAGCCAAGGTGCGAAGACTGCTAAAGCAGTATTACCGGTATATTCCAAGGCAGCTTTTCACCTTAACTGCCACTGGTGACTAGGCTCAATTAGTAGAGTGCAATATAAAAAGCACCTTAAGAGACCAAAAAGTGGCAGCTAGCAGAAAGAGTGATAAAAAACTTGCTGTCAAAATGTTTTGTCTGTCATCTTTTTTGTTGTGTTAAGCGGCCACTCAAAAGATAGCCCACTGACCAACTCACCAGTAGGTGAGTTGCATGAAAAGGAGGGCTATACAGTTGGACCCGGCTAATTTGAACTCGGTATTTTCGAATTCCCTGTTATTTTGAACTCAAAACCATTTCACTTGGATTTTCCCTTCAGTCATTTGCTATCAGCTATTTCAAACTCTGCTTTCCTGAACAATTTAAATTCATTTCCCCTGCGAGATCAAAATATTAGCAGGGTTCAACTGTACTTTAACCCCCCTGGCCTGTAGTAAGTGGTTGGCTGAGGTACCCTGCCTCCATGTACTCCTCGTAAACATGGCCTGAGGAGCATGATATGCACTGCAGACATATGGTTGTAAACCAGTTAAAGTAAATATTAGAAAAGAAGATGTGAAAACATGTAAAATGGGATTACACACACAGTGGCTTTACAATGCAGGGGATTGGTGTTTCTGTCTCTAGGAGCATTGTGATGACAGTAAAATTAGTTTGTAATGTTGGAGTTTTGTCCAGGACGCCAAGTTAAGTCAGATAGTTATTGTACTTTTGATAGCATGAATTCATTAACGTATGGCATCTTAGTAGTGTATTGCTCAGATTTTGCACTAAAAACTTAAAGTTTTGCCCATGTAGAAAACATATGCCAATAATTTTGAAATGTGTACCTGGACAAGTGCCTTTTTCCTACATATTGTTAATATAATTTGAACAGCAGAAAACTATTTATCGTAATCCCTACATTCAATGAAAGTGTACATGATTAGTTACGATTATGCTGTTTACACAGCCACTAGAATCTGGACATATTTATGTCTGCATGCACATAAAATATGACCATACGACAGCAAACATAAGGAAAAAATGTACATAACCATGGTTTAATTATGCATTATTTAGCAGCAAGATAACATAAATTTGTAAAGGTTAATTGTAATAAATTCGTTCACTTTTTCAGTATAGATCAACGTTTGACACAAGACATAAATGTGAAAGATTGAAACAGTTTTGATTTCCCAAGAACCTTGTTTCCTAATTAAACTATAATATTATTACCATGGACAATAAAGATTCTGTCACTGATACATCAAGTTAAGTATTTAAAGTATATATTAAAAATATATGTTACATGTAAACTATCAGATCTGAAAACTAAGGAAATAATTTACCGTCTAATTATTTTGTTTTTCAAAGTTTATTTTACTAAAGAGGTGTCCTGAATGTTATGGAAAAATTATTGGAATATACTCAAAAAATAATTTATTTATTGCCTAGAACTAGAATAATTTCTACTGATCTTAACATTTGAAGCTTGTCACAATTGAGCAGTCTACAATATGCAATGTGCCACAGAGCAGGGACTCTGGGTGTTACTTTTGCATTGATGTAATATTCTGTGAAACAAAATCTTTTTAATTGAGCTTGGGGCACTGTTAATATACAACCTATTCTATTAAATGTGGGTTGTTTGTTCTATAAGGTGCTTTCATACTGTATGCATTTTGAGGGTACAATAAAATGTTAGTTTTGTGTTAAGACATGGTTTGTAATTGCTGGAAACTTTTGACTTGCATGTACTGACTCTGAACTTGATGACATACACTGCAGAATAGGCCATATTGGTATTCTCAGTGTCAGACTGGAACTAGCTAGCATTATGGAGGCTCGTGTAGGAAAATATCATTATTATAATTATTATTGCCAGAAATCTCAATTGTTTGAAACAAGTTTCTGTGTCAGTCCCAAAGGAGAAAGACAAAAGGCCTAAAGCAGTGCAGTGCAAATGAAAGTTTACAAGAAGGAATGAGGGAGCCTGGTTCTTATAAACTTGTGTTCACACTGCTTTTTCCCATTAGACTGGGCCTACTTCCCCCAGGACATTGTTAACAAAGACTAATCTCTCATAAATGTCGGATCTGACTCCCTTGATGGTAGGGGAATATTTGCTATGTGCAAGAGAGTGTCACCACTTATGCAAGGAAAGATGAAGAGATGTCACTGATGTATATAGACATGCCACAAGGCAACATTTCCTTAATCCTTTGCTTATTTATCTCCCTTGAGCGTAGCGAGAAGGTAATCTTCGAGCGATGTAAGTCATAAGAGGCTAACCTTTCCAGGCAAGGGAACAATTATTGGCAAGGACTTTTAGAAAGGTTATGATGCATGTAACAAAAAAATAAACAAAACGAACTTTGAAAACCAGTTTATTAAGAAAAACAAAATTTGTGATTTAAAATTTGCAGATCTATGTATAATTATATTAAATAGCTTTAAATGCTCTAGGTATGTGTAGTTCAGTAAAACCAGGCCAATCAGATGGAAGTAATGGCTGAATGGTAACCCACAAAACATATCCCATCTGATCGTGATGTCCCAGTAAAGTTGATACCACCATTCCTTTATTTTCTGATGACACAATTTTCCTTCTTGTTAATACCACTGTTGGTCAGTGTGACATCATCAGTAAAATCAGTGGTCTTGTGCACACTGCAAAGAATAATCTTTTTGCAAAAATGTTGATCTGTTTTAACTTTTTTCTGTCTTGCCTGAATTTCACCCCAACTCCTCTGGTCGCTTACTTTTTGAGAATTCAGGCTAGACTCTATCTACAACTCTTTGTTGATTGACTGACAAGTTGGAATCAACCAAACCTACAATGTACAGTTGTATCTGGTTTGACTGAGAGTCAGAAAAAAATCACAAGGAACACAGGCTAATGCATGCTGCTTGAAAATGTCATCTTTCCTTGAGTGCCATTACAAAATCCTGTTTACGTTATTGATAAACATGTCACATGTCTTTACATTCTCCTGACCTCACAAATGATACTTTCTCCTTTCAGTGAAACAAGTCACTGAAATGACTTGTGCTAAGTTTAATTAAAAACAAGCTGCTTATTTCTGTAAATACTCTTAATACTACCAAGCTGTAAAATTCGGTGAAATTTGCATTCAATATTTTCTGCCATTGTAATGTAATTAGCTACAAAACCAAAATTAAGCAATTACATCTTCAGCACCAACTACAGCATTCAAATTGATAGTTGATCTTGCTTTATCTGCAACATCTTCAATGTGTATCTAGAAACACAATGACAACAGAAGCTTAATTTATCAGAACTGTGATCCCCAATGGAGGCATTCAGCTACTAAAGGCTACTCCAACCAGAACTGCCTGTTAAATCTATTCAGCATCCTTTGAACACATATACACATCCTGATTGTGCAGACGGCTCAAGTCAGGGTAGAGTGGTTTTTTCTCATCCACAATCCATGCACGGCCATCTCTGAGGGCTTCATTTAGACTGTCAATCCATGTTGCACGGTCAGCCTTGGTATCAGCTGCCAAGAGGTACCTGATGATTGGTGAAACAATTAGCTTATACTTGCTATATGCTTTTGTTTACCTTACATGTTTTTTCTTCCACTTTTACTACCAATAACCATTGCAGTCGGCAAATGTCTAGGAAATCCAGAATGTGAGATACACCATCAGTCAAATCATATCATTTTCCCACTTATGTCCAGAAATGCACGCAGCAACGAAAATGGCAGATTCGACAAAATTTCATCAAACTGAGTGAATGCTCATGGATTTGACGATTTTGGTGAATTTCAGTCAAATTTGTCAAATTGGAATCAGCTTGGTGGAATTAATGATTTTGGCAATTTTAATTATCATTCAATTGCATCTTTAGTTATTAGTAGTAATTTACTGATACATGTAACTTACTTGACTTCAGTTCCACATGACCTCTTCAATTTCAGTTCCATGGTGTTTGGCCGAGCACACAGGTCCCTTGCAACTCGAGTTACCTCCTTGCTTATGCAATCTGCTAAATTGATGCATCCCATTGGGGGCTAACACAGACAAACAAACAGTATGCAATGATCACTTCTCTATCAGAAATTGAAGGCTGTAGTATTTAGTTATAAAATAATTAATACCTTTGTTAGTAGCTCAATATTTTTCACAAACCTACTGGCCCAAAACTGCCAGAACTTGGCTCTTTTCTTTTTCTGTAGCATGAAGCAACTAACAATAATGCCAAATGGGAAGCTAGTTGTCACAGCAGATTCCCTTGCATGTGCAGCATTTCTGTCACTTCACTGACAGGTAACCATTAGATGCAGTGGCTGATTGGTTAGCAAGTTGGACACTGGATTGATTGGTCTGGGTTCGAGTCCTGGCTGGGGTCACTGCATTGTGTTCTTGGGCAGGACACTTTACTCTCAAAGTGCCTCTCTCCACCCCCAGGTGTATAAATGGGTAATGCCAAATCTAATGCTGGGAATAACCCTGTGATGGACTAGCATCCTATCCAGGGAGGAGTAGAAAAACTCCTACAGGTGTAGTTGCTTATTGCTACAGAAAGCGAGATAAACTCCTGCTGTATGGCCACTTGGCCTGACGCAGACTTAACCCTTAACCACAACCATTTTAACACCAAGGTGAAACCACCACCGTGGTCTGAACTGGCTTGCCTAAAGACACTGCAGCTTGAACCATCACCATCACATCTCAAATGCGATATGCTAACCACGTGATCACCATACCTCAATAAACCTTAAAACATGTACATGTATGCAGTAGACATGACATTAGGTGTTGTGTGGGTCACGCTGAGGATAATAATTATTAAGTAAGTTTGAAGTAGACAAAATATGAGTTGGTACCTTAGTGCTCTCATCTCCAGGGTATCTCCAGTATGACATGATAGCACCTTGTAACACACACCATCTTCTCTGCCATGCTCCATATCCACCAATGTCTTCTAGGATAGTCTGAAAGAAAAGAAAGACAGTAAAAACTTGGCTATAATATTATTGACTTGTCATGTATTCAGATAATATCTTTTTTAATCAGTATAAGATTTTTGCTATTAGTTACCAGAAATCCATTTACACGGTTGCTGTACTGAGGAGAACATTCAGCTTTCATTTCTATGAAGTTACTCAAGGGGCAGCCATCGGGCACCTGGGAGTGGAACACAATGCAACAATCAATAATTTATTTGAGCTTGAACAAAGCTTCCTCTTTCACATACAACTGATCAACCCCCACAAGAAACATCCGACATTCAGCCTAAGAGATTTCTTCAGATGGTCAACCTCCCATAAGTTGTGGCATCCAGTATAGTTTTGAATTTGTATGTATAACTAATGAAAAACGAAAATCATTTGTTGTCAATAGGAATGTTTATTTAGTAACATGAATTTAAAATGGTGAGATTGCATGACTATGAGTAATCTTCTCTGAAAGCTGATAATTTGAAATTTTTTCACCTACCTTATCAAGAGAGAATCGCTTTGATTTGATGATGGGCAGATTGACATGTGTCACTCCAACAAGAGAGAAACTGCTGGTTCTGAACACTGTGTGTGGTGATGCAGAGATCTGAGTTGCTAAAAGAAAAACAACCGATCAGAATAAGAAGTCAATAATAATGGAGTTAAAGTGTTACTGGCATTACTGTGGTGAGTAGTATAAGTTCCCTGTGACTGTGCACTATCCACTGAAATTTGGTTCAAAAAGAACAACATCTGATCTCCAACCTGCTTTATCAAATAAATTTTGTATGTATGTATGTATGTATGTATGTATGTATGTATGTATGTATGTATGTATGTATGTATGTATGTATGTATGTATGTATGTATGTATGTATGTATCATTTCTTGTTACATACATTTCTTGTTGTTCATCAAATGTAACTAATTCAAATATTCAAAATGGTACACACCTGGAGAAGGACTGTCTGATCCTCTTCGCTGCAAACAACAATAAATAAATTAAAAGGATGAGATTGAATGAGATGACGCCAAAACAATACATTTTGGCTTCTTATGATACCCATTGATTAATCAATTTGTCTCTGATGTGACAGGCCATGTACCAAACTGGTCTGAGCATACAGCAGGGCAGACAGATGATTTGCAGGAAATGCAAAATAATTGACCCAAATAGCACAACCTTCTTGCATATGAAGACATTATCTTAGGCAGTAGTTATGCCTAGATGTCTTCAACACAGGAATGTCAGTTACAACAGTTTTGAATGTAAATTTTTAAAGGCCACAAAGTAAAACTTACACTACTTTTACTATTTTTATTTACAGTGTACTGATTGAATAACACTCTGACTTACTAAAATTCCTTTCACGACTTTGGGTGACTGAAAGATCTTGTGCTTGGTGGGCGTGGCTGGTGTACTTAACACGGTCTTTTTAACATTCTGGAAATAAAATAATGCAACGTTCTTTCTTTGCTTCTTTGAAGAAAAAAACCCGGGTTCTTGTTACAAGTCAATGGAATTATGACTCTTTGCTTTCCTGTATTTTTTCTTTCCCAGCTCCACCCCCTTGCATTTTGGCTTGTTCATATCCCCAGATGTTGTTTTAACCTGAATGTTCTTCTGCAATCTCACTTCCCTTGCATTTTGGCTTGTTTATATCATCTGCAGTCATCATGTTACTTGCGATCTCAACAAAGTCAAGATGGTCTGTGGGCAGACTATCATTTGCTTAGACCTTAAGAATGGACACTCACCATACAGAAAACTTTAATGGCCACATTAAAATCTGGTTTAATGTCCTTTCTATAAAAAACAAAGTAGAAAAGTCTAAAAATCCAGTCATGCATGATAACAAATGTACAAGCCATCGTAAACTTCACAGACTATAAAAATCAAATGTGACAAGTTCTGATTAGCAAGCTTCACTTACAAAGTGAATTTGTCAGGGAAGACTAAGAAGTTTCCTTCAGTGGCATCATTTGTCGACAACACCCTTGAACAGTAGAACTCATGTGGGCCATGTTGAATGATACACACAAAGTAAAACACACCAAGATCTGCCAAGACAATAAGAATGACAATAAATCTACCAACTGAGAATCAAGTCAAGAAACTAACATAATACTAGTTATTAAGTTCTACAATGATTATTACACCTGTATGAGGTATCATGCAATAAATCAATCAGAAGAAAACTAGTTTACTCACCATGTCTGATTCCCACTCTTAACACATCCATAAAATCTTGTCGTAGGGTAACTTTGACATCTGAAATGAACAAAAAAAACTCTTGACTAATGCTCATAAAGAGGGTTACAAAATAAAACTTGATAATCAGGGCTGTCATTAAGTTTTGAGTCACCTGTAGCCTTGTTATCCACACCCGTAGCAAACTGGTTACTTTGTGGTTGATGAGTTTTGTCAGCAACAGGCAATTTCACCCGTAGCATCAAGGGAAAATTAAACATACTCAGCCGTAACAGGTGTTATAAGTTACGGGTTACGGCCCTTAATGACAGCCCTGACAATGATTGGAAGTTGCTTGTGTTAATGACATGATTCCCTCTGTCGTTCCTGGTCGTCTAAAAAGTTAAGCATTTCTGATATATAATTTATAAAGAGTAATATAAATAAAATTATCAGAAACGCACAGAACACACCAGATATAGTTAGAGTGGCCAGGCAGGCTGGTGTCGCAGAACCTGATGTGCTCTCCCCATTAAAAGTGTCACCAGCTCCAGTTTTCAATTTCTGGACTTCATCCAGGCATGCTGTCCTGTGTTCAGCTGAGAATATTAGTCAAAAGTCAGTGACATTCTGAAGAATGCAATCCCGATTTCTCAAACCCATGAGTCAATTCTTTCCCCTCAGTCAAGCACTGAGATTTTCCCTTGATTTCTTGAACTAACTGATGTTTCAAAACCAGCTTTTGTTTCCCTTGAACATTTGAAAAATCAGGATTCCACTGTACATCAAAATTTTGCTTGAATTATTGAAGCACAACTGTAAAATAATTTATACTTACAGAAGCTTATCACCCCAAAATTCTAAAACTTATTATATTGTATATGGCAGCTGTACATTTAGTACTTCTATTTATGCCTTGCAAAAGCCTCTACAACAGTGACATTGTTATAAAATGACATTCTCTACTTACTTGCAAGTAAAAGAACTCTTTCTGCTTCAATTTCTTCTTGTGAGCCCCTGAAAGTGATGTCATTTGCAACACACAGATTAAGGGCTTGACTTGCCTGAAGGACAATGTTCTGCTGGTATGCAGCTTCCTCCAGTAAGGTCTGTATTTGAAAGAAGGGTTTTACAGAGCATTAAATGGATAGCTACAATTTATTGTTTACATGAAAGCTTCAAAGTAGTGTTATCATGAGCCCCAAAAATGTTATTACCGTTTATGTATACTTTTCTGGTGCAGTTTTCAGCCGTTAAAATTTATTTCTCCCACTCTTTTTGTCTCCCGTAGGTTTTAAAGTGCCTATGAAGTAAAAAATAATTGCTGCTGATTTGAAAGGCTTTTCAAAGTAAAGAAGAATGGCGTTTTCCTTTTTAGCATATGTTTTTTTGTTTAAGAGATATTCACGTTTTTGTATTATAAGTGATGACGTCATAGGTGGTTCCACTAAAACAGTTCAACACTCAATCAAGAATATCTCTAGAAATATCAAAGCAGTGTTCTTTAAACTTGGCACCAGAAATGTAAATCACAAAAGAAACAAAATGACACCCATTGTGCCGTTGCCATGACAACAGTTATGCCACTGGTCCTGTTTTAATTAAAACTAACATTACCAGATTTCATCTTAAACAAGGATCATGCAATCCCAACAACCTAATGGGGAGAGTTAAGACAATATGGGAATCATGTGTGTTCCTAGCAAGACCCTCTGTCCCTTCTCGAAGAGTTGCAAATTGGCATATTTGGTTTTTCACAGAAAGAGACTGGAGCCAAAAGCGTTGCCATGGCAACAACACAGAAGGTGTCATTCTGTTTCTTTTGTGATGCACATTTGTGGTGCCAAGTTTGAAGAACACAGCTCCAATATTTCTAGAGATATTCTTGATTCAGTGTTTTACTGTTCAAATGGAACCACCTATGACGTCATCACTTTCCTCATTTGCATAATACAAAAACGTAAATATCTCTAGAACGAAAAAAGATATACCAAAAAGGGAAACGCCATTCTTCTTTACTTTGAAAAGCCTTTCAAATGAGCAGCAATTATTTTTTACTTCATAGACACTTTAATAGTGCATATACTACATTTTGAGCAACAGTCGAAATATGGTGCAGAGTATCCCTTTAAGTCTTGTAAGAAAATAAACAGTGTAGAATGTTTGGAATTTAGATAATTTGATTTTAGATCTGGTAACTGGACTAAGTATGCAGTCTTCACTAGCAGTGTAAGCAGAAGCACAAGGATCAACGCTCTAGCTGTGGTCCTTAAGGTGTACAGTTCACTTCACAAGTATGGAATGAGCTTACATCAGACTAAGCAACGGTGCTAGAGAAAACCAAGCTGTAATAACTTCCTGCATATATATGTGCACCTGTACTACAATGCAGGGCTCGAAAAAATTGCTGTGCAGCCTTCTGTGACTAGTAGATTTCCCTGCCAGGTAAGTTACTTTTCATTCTCACTAGCCCCATGGGCAAGAGCCTAGGCAAGTTGTCTGCCAACTAAATCCGAAAAAAAGTATATTAAGACGTGCCCAGGGCAATTTGAGAGCTGCCTGTCTACAGAGCATGCTAGAATTCAAGTTTTTTTCAAGCCCTGCTACACATGCATGTGTTTAGTCTAGAAATAAGCTTACTTTAATGACATCCTGTGTTCTCCTTGGTCTCTGTGGCACTGCTGGTTTGGGTTTCTGCGATATCTTGGTGGCGTATTGTTCACTGGATTTATTGTTGTACCCGGACTGATAGGTTCCTCTTTCTTCTCTATCAGACTCAGTTGACTCAGCCGAGGAGTGTCCAGCACTATCCTTTCTCTTCTTTTCTTCTCTTTTCTGTTCTTTCTCCAGCTGCATTACATTAAGATAAGCGCCTTAAAGTTTGCAAGGGTTCTCTTGAAATGAATAGCTGCAGTAGGTGCATGAGGAGTTGGTGTGAAAACTCTGCCAACAACCTTGTGATCACTTTCATTTTGTCAAAGTGGCTCCTACATTTTTGTGTGTGATACCTGTGGCATCCCACAGGATACCAGTGTAGGATACCAGTGTGGGATACCTGTGGTATCCCACACTATTGTCATTGGCTCGTGTCGGTTAATGCAAATTAGTTGCAAAGATTGCACTGCATCCTGGATCCATGTACACTGTATCCCACACATGTACCCTTTGGGTACCTATTTCTCTTTTCCTTGCTGAAAAAACTTTGAAAGACTGTTCTTTATCCTAAATGTACAGCATCATTGTTGATAGGTGTAGCTAGACACTCTGCCAACATTGTGTACACAGATGCTATTCAAGAATTAATTATAATAATTTATCAATTAATGAATGAGTGATGCTGACTAATTGCAAGTTTGATGAAAAATACTGCAGTTCTTGTACAGTAATTGTGTATTTGGTACATGTATTCTACATGTTAAAATCAAACAAAAAAGATACTTGCACAACGTTTGAAAAAAATTTCCCTACCTGTTTGCACTTTTCTTCGTAGCTCAACTTAAACATACTATCTCTGTCTTTCTCCAGCTCTTGATCAAACTGCCCAAAGTCAAAGGTAAATGTCATTTCGTGAATGTTAACATCGTTAAGATTAATAGTTTCATTTGGATCAAATTGGCACTCCCTGGTGGGTCTTCTGGGAACCTTAAATGCAAAGTCATCTTTTTTGGTTGACTCTCTTGTTTTCCTTGAGGAGGTTGGTGGCTTGCCCTCCATAGCAACAGCTGGGATGACATCACTGGAAACCTTTTCCGCTACATGGTCTTTCTTTTGATGTTTTTCAGTTTTGTCCACACTGTTCACTTTCTCTCCTCTGATGGCTTTACCTTTTACTTCTGAGCCACCACAAGAAATCGCTGTGACTGTCACAGTATTTTCTTTGCTTCCTTTCTTTGAAGCAGTCGCTGGTAGTTTGTCTTCAACTAAACAAGCCTGGATAATACATGGCTGCTCTTGTGGCCTTGGCTTTGATTTATCTGTTGTTGATCTTCTCGTATCAACAGGAGTTGCTACAATTGTCACCGTGTTATCCAGCCCCATTTTCTCTGCCTTTTTCACAGATCCTTTTGCTTTCTCCTCTTTTTGTTTTCTTTCTTCACTGCCATGTTCCTCCTGTGTATTCTTATTTGCTTCGCAAGAGTTTTGCACTTTTCTTCTAGGTTTTGGTGTAGGTTGATCACCTTCAGTTTTGTCAATGCCCTCTAAACTCTCAACACTGCCTTTCCTTTCCCTCTTTGCTGGAACAGGGGTGCAGCCTCTATCGCCATCTTCATCAGTAGACGGACTTTGTGATGGATTGCTTTTTTCTTTGGTGTCCTCTGGATCACATTTTGTTGCGCTGATCTTGACAGCATTACCGCTCTTCCCAGGTTGAATCTTGCTCTCTTCCTGATTAGAGATGGGTGGCTCTGGAGCTTTTCTCTTAATTACTGATGTTGCACTATGATCCACAACTTTGGTATCGCTGCTTTCTTTTGCCTCCCTTGGGGGAGAGGGAGCTTTCCTCTTAGCTGGCTGCTGCTGCTGCTCCCCAGGTTGAATCTCTTCAGAGTTAGTTTCCATGGCAGCCACCCTTGGGGGCTTAGGTGGTGGGAACAGTTTCTCTTTTTTGTTGCCAATGTCTTTTTCTGATGCCCCATTCTCAAACACACTCCTTGCTTCTGCCAGTTTCCCAGGAGTATGTGGCGTCTTAACCTCACAAGGTTTTTTATCTTTGGTATTCTCCTGAAAACACAAGTTATAGTCAAACAAATTTACAGCAAAAATAAAATAAGGCTTTAAACTGTAGTTTAAGTGAAATATTCATCTGGTCAGGAATAAAGCCTTCAATGGTAATTATAATGCACATGCACATAAATGCTGACTGATTCTGTCACACAAAATTTTCTTGCCTGCATGCAAGCCAGTGAGAGGCCAATTTTCAAAATGTGCTGGAAGCTGGCAATTTTGTTGTCAGCAGTAAATTATTTGATACCTTCTTCATACTGGAGTTCATTAATCTTGACTACCATGGTAACAAATTTTATAAATTGTTCATCTCTGTAGCTCTGTCAACAGGGCCACTGAAAAAATTATTGCTTGACAAGCTATACAATGAGTACAGTATTACAGTAACTTTAACATTCTTCACCTTTTGCTCATCTCCTGTGTTATTTTCAAAGGCAGCAGATCTTGATGCGACACTTGGGCTGCTTGTACTGGAATTCGTAACTCCAGATCCCTGTGTTAAAGCTTTCCAATGTTTCTTTGGTGTCACACCATTTTCTTGATCTTTCTGTTGCATTTTAATAAGCTGCTCTTTTCGAGCCTGAAGACAAAGTAATGATCGAGTTTACAATTGCTCACTTAAGTTTAGTCTCAAGGTTTTGAAGTTTTTTTTTATGAGAAAGATAGAGTGGCAAGACACAATAATTTAATCTTACCTGAAGGCTAGTTAAATACAGTGTACTGCAGTTATTTTTCAGTGCCACAACTTACAGACTTCATATTGACTGGACAAGTTCACTTTCTGGTTGGACAATTTTTCTCCATGTGTTATTGTACATTGTAAGGCAAATGTATTACAGATAGACCCCACTAATGTGAACTTGGTTATTTCAAATTCCCTGTTTAGAACTCAAAATTATTTTCCTTGGATTTGCCCTTCAGTAATTTACTATTGGCTATTTCGAACTCTTGTTATTTTGAACTATGTGTATTTCCCGTTTCCCCTGAGAGTTTGAAACAGAGGGGATCAACTGTATTATCTGTTTCACAATGATTTATCCATGTTACTGACAGTACATGTAGATCTCCCCCTTGCATCTGGTCAACTTGTCACACCAGACTACAGACATAAACTTTCAGTTGTCTAATGACAGGATATTATTTGCTGGCTTAGTAATGTAAAACACAATTTTATTTATGTCTGTCTTCACATACATTTGTATTACTAAATGAATTATTGACATTTTAGCATGTACCTGAACAGATGGGCTGTCGACATCAGTTTTCTTGGAATTCTTTAAAATGGCATTTTCCCCACCATCTTCACTGCCAATTCTGCGTCGCTTGACGTCATCTGTGTCAATTTCTGAGCCGCTGTCAGTGTTGTCTTCTGATAGCGGATGTCGTGATCGGTCCTTGATGGGTGAATTTCTCTTGGCTCTGCATGCTTCCAGTTCCTCGCGTTTTTTGACAAGTTGGTTTTTCCTTGCTTGGGTTCTTGCTAACAATTTCTGCAGAAGATTCACAACTCAGGTTTACCAGTCATCAAAATTACATCACCAGTTTTACACATGGAATAGAAAACGGTTCACAAACTCCACTAGATAGCGCGCAAACTTAACCTTCCAAAAGATGCTATAAGCTTGAATATTTGTACAACGAACGAAAATAACAATCAAAACAATTAGGGTTTTTAATGAGTTTTGATGTATTTAAATGTCAGTTTATGAAAGTACTTGCCAGTAGTTCAAAGCAATGTGAAAATAAATAGCAAACGATAACATTTAATCTTAACAGTAGTAATTGCCGATTTTCATGTTTGACAGTTGCATTTTCGAGAAGGGTCGGTTACAATTTGAACACACCGGAACGAAAGGAATGTATGCCTTGCCTCCGTGTTTTCACATGATTCAAGATGAAATATGGCAAATATCCCGAGTTTAATTAGAATCCAATGTTTGAAACACACATGATAAAGCAATAATCAAGTTTTTACAACACTTTTGACTACATAAGGATGCATACTCGAGTACGCTTTACATGTAGGAGGTCACAGATATTTTAAGTGGGAAAGTTCAGTTCTCCAAGTTTTGCGCGACAAGCTCATGTCTCAGCATCTGTTCGCACTTTTTGCCCAAAAAGAATGCCTGATCCCAATGTGGATGTCCACCTGAGTTTTCAGATGATCAGCAAAAGTTGCCTTCTTATCATTCGCCAAAACAAAACATTACAGTTTTCGAAAATCTCCAACAGCGCATCGACCGATTTCCAACGACAAACAACTTGCTCGAGTTTCTTCATCGGCTAGTTTTTAAAGAGGCAAGGGAAAAAACAGAAAAAATTACCTGCGTGAAAGGATCCATTCTGGCGTAAAACTTTATCTCATAAGGATGGCTTTATCGATGAATATGCAGTCTTTTGTGAAAATATCGTTTAGCAAAGTCAAAGTTCGAACCGCTCACAAATGGACGATCGATTTGAAACTGAGCGCCCAGAGGGCTCAGCTAATCACGTGATCACGTGATAGTTTTTTTTCCGGTCCAGTCTTCAACGGTGATTATTTGGCGCGTGTTCGATACTGCGTGAAAAACCCGTGATTACATTGCTAATGCTTTCTTCTTTCGCCTCTGCGTGCAAAAGTGTGGAGTTTCCTTTGTTTCACGCTGAGATTGCCACGAATTGCGTTTTTGGATTTATCTGACCCTTATCTGGCCTTGGCAGACTAAAAAATATGTATAAAGATAGGAGCCCAGGCCCGATGTCGACATGCAAAAGTACAGCCTCCCCCAAAGGAAATGATGATCTTGTAAAAATAATTTATTTAAGGTGGCTCATAACGGTTTCCAGCATTTTTCAGCCATTCTTCATTGATTGATCAATGTTACCTCTCATCTCTTGTTGTTACAAAATGGCATCAAACAAATGCCCAATCTTTGGTGAACAAGTTACATGGTCTTTTTCATGACAGAAAAAAGGTTACCATGGCAACACTATTTAATCTTGTCACTCAAAAAAGAGACCGATAACCCCTTTCCGAAGGTAAAAACAAATTGTGGGAGACTGAGAGAGGCTTGGTACAAAACAACAGAGAAAGGAAGGACAGTCTCCAGGGGTTTTACTTCATTGAGCGAGACAGCACCAAGCAGATTCCAACCCTCCCGATTTGATCGGGAGACTCCTGATCTGACGTGTTGCCTTCCGCTCTCCCGATTCTTATCAAATTCTCCCGATTTGTAATACATTGTGAAAACAAGGGAAAAAATGCTAATCTTAAGTATTTTTTTGCGATGTATTACACTTTCTTCTCATATCATCTCACCTAGTCTCTCACCGTGTATTGTGCAGACTCATCAGGCCAGCAGTCTTACTCCATTTAGCAGCTCCAAAATGCAGGAAAAGGCATTTAAGAAAACCTAAATTTGCAAAATTTCCTGGTGAGCATGGTCCCGGACCCCCCTAGAGGCTGGCGCCTTCGGTGCTAAAAGAGTCTCCCTATTTTCCTTCAAAATGGGTTGGAATCTCTGACCGAGTGTCATGGCAAGGAAGAATTTCTGGCCCATTAGCCCAAGGAGGGTAAAAGGTTAAGCCTGTAAAGAAGCCAAGTGGCCCATCAGGCCGGAGCTTATCCTGATTTCTGTAGCCTAAAGCGACTAGGAGTATTTCTACTCCCCCTGGATGGGATGCTAGTCCATTGCAGGGTTATCCCCAGCAGTAAGTTCGCCGGTGTCCATTTATACACCTGGGAGAGAGGCACTGTCTGAGTAAAGTGCCTTGCCCAAGCACACAACACAATGTTTCTGGCCAGGGCTCGAACCCGGACTGCTCGATCCGGAGAAGTGTGCACTAGCCATGAGGTCACCGCTCCTCCCATATTAGTCCAAGGAGGCTATTGTAATCTCTGTCCCAGAGGCCTTATGGTAAGCACCATGAAATTGAGAATTCTGGGAGAAAAAGGCCGCGGGGCAGGGGGGACTCCCATACAAAAAGGTAGGGGCCGGGGTACTCACCGTACCTTTTAGGAGTTAAAAAAGCGGTTTTGATACCTCTAAAAGCAGTTTTGGTACACTATCCACCAGATAAATTGCTATCCAGTGGATAAGTTTTGGTTCTACTATGCTATCCTCTGAATAGTGATTTATCCGGTGGTTCGCATTATCCACCCTTTGAGTGCTCAACTGGGGCTTGGGTAGAGAGAATAGGTGCTGTAAAACTGGCTAGACCAGTATAGTCAACAGAAAATGTTTGTAATTTATGCATGTAAATGCACTTTTAATTAAATTATATATCAAAATGTCTCTCCTGTGTGATACTTAACATCAAATAAAGCTGCAAGCATCTCAAGTGCACAGCTATCCCTGGAAAAGATCAAAGGATGAAAAATATCCCAACAGTTTGGTCTTAAAAGCTGTAGATGGAAGTAGTAGCTGAGTAGGTATACAGGAAATTCGCAGAAAATAAATTATTGCAACCACCTGCCTCGTTCAGCTTAACACAACCTTTTCTACGTTCTCAAAAGGAAGAAAACCATGGATCTTACAGGGCCCCAAAAAACTTGAATTCCAGCTTGCCCTTGGCAAGGGTAGCTCTCACATTTTGATTGCCCATGGCAAGTCGTAGTTTGCTCTTTTAATGATCTAGTTGGCAGATTACTTGCTTGATACCTTGCCCATCAGGCAAGTGAGAGTGAAAAGTTACTTGACCAGAAGGAAAATCTACTTGTCCAGGACAATGGGACAGCACTTTTTTCGAGCCCTGGCTTAAAGGAGCTCACTCATGGTATTTTGAGTTCTTTTGGCCACATAAAAATTTACCTTTTAATTGAAGGAAAGCTGAAAATAGTTGTTTACCAAGAAAGAAAAACACAAAAGAGATAATATTAAACCACAAAGGAAGAACGAAGGTTAAAATGCAGAAGATTAACATGGATCACAAATGACGTCATGAAAGGGATTAAATAATAATATAATAATAATAATATTCTTATTAACTATATATAATATAATAAAAGCTTTTTATTTAGACTAATTTAGACTAAACTTTTCAAGATGTGCAAACTGTGATGTAGTTCCTTTAAGGCTTTGCACTCTGATCAAAGTTCACAGAACTTGTCATGAGACCAATAAATTAATTAATACAAATGTACTATGAATTATCTCAGTCAGAATGCAAAGCCTTTAAGGATTTTTAGCCAAAGAACAAGAGTAGACAATCGTCATGAAAGGGATTAAATAATAATATAATAATAATAATATTCTTATTAACTATATATAATTTAATAAAAGATTTTTATAGTACCAGAATTCTAATGTTCAAAGGTACTTTACAATATCAGAGAACATCAACAAGCTGCCATACACAGCTAGAAGTAAGTCCTCAGTCAGAGGATCTAAATATTGTCAACTGTAGTGAAAGTTTAAGCTGGTCCACATGAATTTTACAGTTGGCTGTTAACATTGGTAAGTTCGAAATCTTGCTAACTCTTAACTTGTTCTCCAACTAAGAACCTAAAGGATTAAATTACTAAGTCAGTCATTACCAAGGTGGCAGCTAGTAACAAGCAAGTCTCAGTCGTTTTTTTTTTGTTTTTGTTGTTGTTATTTTGAAGGGGGAAAGTAAGCCACTGCTAGCATAAAATAAAAAATAAACAAATACTGGTATATAACACTGGCTCAGTCATAATTTTTTTTGGCAACAGCCCTTATTACTACCATAAGCAGGGGTCTCATTAAAGTTATCAGCAGGAGGGCAACTGGATTTCACAGGTGGATAAAACTTCTTTATATAAAAAAAAAACTTTCCCCTAGATGGTCAAACCAGGGGAGCAAAATGGTCCTCACAGTCGGTCTATTTGCCCCATGCCCAGCCCTTAATGAAACCCCTGCCATAGCCTGATTAATGTTTAGACAAAGCTGAAATACGTGGACTAGAAGAAAGGTCAGAACTGCTACTGTCACCATCTGAATCAGAATGATCCCTGTGTGTAAGTCCCAGCCGCTGTGTATTGTCACTTGAACAATTCCTTTTTTCAAGACCTAATATTTGGCGCTTCACAAGCTTTGAATATAGTCCATTCTGTTCCACAAGCTCTCTATGCTTGCCTTGTGCAATGACTCTACCTTGGTCAATAACCACAATCTTATCTGCTTTCTCTATGGTACTCAAGCGATGAGCAATTATCAATACTGTGTGGCCAGCTAAATTCTTGTAAATTGCATCCTGGACAAGATGTTCACTCTCTGCATCAAGGGCGCTAGTTGCTTCATCAAGAAGGAGAATTCGTGGATTTCGCGCCAATGCTCTAGCAATGGCAACTCTTTGCTTTTGCCCACCCGATAGCTGCAGACCCTTTTCCCCAGTTTCAGTGTCATAACCCTCTGACATATCACTGATAAAAGAATGTGCATTGGCAAGATGGGACACACGTTCTACTAAAGTTTGATCAATGTTGCCACCATTCCCAAGACCATACGCAATGTTTTCTTTGATTGATCTGGCAAAAAGAACGGGTTCTTGCCCAACCAAGGCAACTTTGCTGTGCAGATACTTGTGCTCAAAATTCCTCACAGGGATAGAATCAATCAGAACTTCTCCAGAAGTTGGTTCATAGAAGTGTTCTAGAAGACTTATGCAAGTGCTCTTTCCACCACCGCTTGGACCGACAAGAGCAATCACTTCACCAGGTGTCACACTAAAAGATACTTTGTCTAAAACTAAAATATTTGGTCTTGTGGGGTATGCAAATGACACATTTTCAAACCTGACTTCACCTAAAACTTCACTGGGGTTGACAATACCATTGTTCTGGATTTTAGGTTTTCGGTCAATGAGCTCAAATACCTTCTCAGAAGCACCCACCGCTTCCAGAAGACCTGTATAAATATCTCCAATTTCACTGATGTAGAAGCCAAGCTGCAATTGGTACAATATGAATGACACAAGGTTTCCTCCACTAAGTTCTCCTTCAAGTACCAAATGGCCACCATAAAGCAGAACCACAACGTCAAGGGTAAGTGTAAGGATTTCTGTGCACCATCTGTAGCCTCCATAGAGATATGATTCCTTCATTTTGAGTCGATATATAGCTTCTTGTTTGTTCTCATAATGTTTGTACTCACCATCTTCATTAGCAAAGCTTCGCACAGTCTTCATTGAAGAAATTACTTCTGCTGCAATTTCATTTGCTTTGGCAGTTGCTTCTTGTACTTGTGTTGAAAGTTTTTTGAAGTAATTTCCGAAAATTTCAGAGATAAATGCAACAAGAGGGAGGCCAATTAACGTAACAATGCTTAACTTCCATGAAAGTTTAAACATAAAGACACATGTTCCAGTGGATTGGACACAGTTACGAAGAAAAACATTTATGTTCAATCCAACTTGATCTGACATTTTTGTTGTGTCAGAGGTCAGACGCGAGACTACCTCTCCGGTCTTTGTATTGTCAAAGAATCCAATTTCCTGTTTTACAATTGAAGCAAACAAAAAGTTGCTGATTCTTTTGGAAAACCTTGCAGCAATCAGTGTAAACAAACCACCTCGTAAACCAGTGGCAATTGCTGTACCCAGTGAAATCAGTGTCATGATAAGAATAGAAGTCATAAATTTAGCCTTGTTTTTCTCAATTGCAATGCTGTCTATAACTTCTCCAGTGTAATAGGGAATAAAGATTTCACCAGTTGCTGCTAGCAAAAGAAACAAAGATGCCAAAGAAATGTAAGGGATGTCTGGTTTACAATAGGACAGAAGTCTCCAAGCAGAAATGTTACCTTCTTTCTCCTTCTTAGTGGGGTTTTCATCACTAGATGCTCTATCATCTGAATCGTCAAAATCATCAACATGAAGCAGGCTCTCTCGTTCTTGTATTGAGCCAATTTCTTGTTCTGTAGACATGCCAATGAATTTGAGTTTACAAAGCAGGAACCACAGACCATATGCCATTACTGTACTGCCTACAGTCCATCCCATGAAAGCCCACAGCCAAATCTTGGGGTTGCTGTCCAAGCTACATTCTGTGCTCAGAAGAAACTTTCCCACAACGAAGACCACGACTGCGATACCACAATAAAGCCAAGGCTTCTTGAGGTTATTGATCCTGGAAACTGCGTCCATTTTGCGTTTGGCGAACAGCACCCCAAAAGAGGCACCCAATAATGTACATAATCGAACCAACGACAGGATCCACAAATCAAAACTGGACGAACAAAATTTGAATTCGTCGATTTGTAAACGTTGATTAAATGTAGAAATGTCCCTGCCACGAATTAGCAACACACCTGATAGTAAGAAGTCCGCAATGGCGCATAATGTGCAAAATATGAGAGGCTTTGCCAAACCACGGGAACGGAAACAACTCGCCATATCTAATTTGCCGGTGAACGACCCGGTGAACCGAACAAGTCATCACACGTTGTCGTTACACGGACAAATCGTTTGCGTCTTCGTCATTTCACTTTGAATTGTCCAATGGTCAGATGATTCTCAGGTTACTATAAACGCGTTTTACACGTGCCTGAAGTGTGACTCTTTATATCAGCAGTATTTTTTGCCCTGTAGCTTTACACGACTTCACAAAGGAACCTCTAGTAGGGGAAAACTCAGCTGTGGCACCTTTTCAGAACGCGCACGGTCGAAAGCTCTGGAGCGAGTCTTTGAAGACGCTGAGTGAGACTGGGGAAAGAAGCTTCTTCTGCCATGCGCCAAAAGTGTGAGGCAGACGTGAGGCCCTAGTTTTTTCTGGGGGAGGGGGGAGGAATAATCCATAATCCAGGTAAATTTTGGAAATAATCCGTATCCGAGAGAAAATATCCCAATATATGTAAAAACAAATGTCCATAAAATAAAATTCTAAAACAATATATAAATTGGGCTATTGGAGAACAAGGTGTTCTAACATTATCACATTCCTGGCATGGGTAGAACAACAGACGGAAACTCAATGAGATGTACCGGAGTTTTTTAAAGTTTTTTAATATAAAATATCACCGGAAGTACTTAGCGACTAACGGAATTACTACTGCGATGCTATCTCAGAATTTTGACTGGGAGCACTAGAAAGGTTCCTGGAGATAAAAAAAAAAACATTCGTCATCTTTTTTATGACTATTTTTAGGCCTTTCATACTGTTTTATGTAAAAAGCAATCTATGCCATTATGACCGATGATAATCCATAATTTTAAAATGAGACACGAATAATCCGTACTCTTTAAATTTAGTGGCCAATCATTCGTATCCCTTCTCTAAAATCCTCTAATAATCCATAATCCTAAAACCCCAACAGGGCCTCGCTAGTTTCGTATATTGATCTCGCTTTACCAAATGTAAAACTAAAAAGTTCTCAACGCTCTATTTACTTTTCTGAAATAACTTCCCAAAGACAATGCCTCATTCATTAATTCAAGCAAATGGGTCACGGACTGAAAAGTCTGGAAAGGTAGTATTTTGATAGAAGCGTAACGATCGCATACATCCAGAAAAAAATATATTGGCGAAAATCTTCTCATTAAACCCACTATAAATTATCCCACACATTGACATATAAACAAAACAATTTACTAATTACTCAACGTTCTTCCTTGTTTTGATTTATGAGACTGTTTCCTTGTTCCTTGCAAATTGAGGGAAGTGGCATTTCCGAGCCCTTAAAAATAAACATTTCCTGGGGCATGCCCCCAAACCTCACAAGGACCACAAGCGATTTTACTTTATCTTCGGTGCGTACTCGATGAAAAATGCTCGTTACGCCCCATGCATTCGAAGTAAAAACAAAACAAATAGTAGTCAATTGTACAGTACACATTTAGATTATTATATGAATGAGTATGTAGCTTAAACTCAATTATAACTCGTGCCTGAAGTATCTGAAGTATGACATTTCCTTTATCGTCAGTCGAGGATCTGGAGAAACTTCTCGATGAGGCCATCCACTTTTTAGAGACCCTATTCCCTGTATGTAATGAATCACACTCGTAACTTGTCACAGTCACCTAAAAAAGGGGAGCTGACTGCTGCGGTGGATAACGGATAGCCTGCATAGCAAGCGTTCCCGTACGAACGAAAGAGCTTTCTCCGCATTCTGACCCCGCGAGCCGGGGAACGCTCTCGGCCTCGCTCTCCCACCAACCCGGATCTCCCTTGTTTATTTTGCTATCGCCCCAACTGAAATCGCTCGACCAGCAAGCAGGCCGCGTCAACAATTTACGAGCATCAGACCTTCCTTATTGATACGGTCATAGTCACTTATTAAACCAATGTAAACTACAGTGTTTGTAAAAAGAACGCTATCGCGTGAGTTATTCAATTAACCGGGAATAAGCTAAGAGGGCCAGAACTTGACCACGTGCCTGCTGTCCGTCAGAAAATCCTCCCTTTCGAGGCCCCTTTAGGGGAGGGGCGTCTAAGTATTCCACAGTCCGTGAATTGTTGCCTGAATATTCCGTACCAGTAATTCAAATAGACCGTTTTCGATATATTAAAATTCAGCTTTGCAGTGAGGCTTACAGGACACAAACACAGGAAATTGAATGACCATGTTTATTCACATTTCTTTTGTTTGTGTCCTCTAGGCCTCTTTATCAAGTTGAAATTTAATATATCGAAGTGGCCCATTGCAAAAATGAACGATTTTCCTACTCGAATCCCGTTTTATCTGGTTTAATATCCCATTCATTTTACCCCACATTTCCTGTATCCCGTCAGCAGGTGACAGAGGTAACAATACCGAGGACTGCTGTAACATGATATCAAACGCAAGCGACCTGTCAAACCCCACTCGGGCGACATGGCAACGATCTCAGCTTAGAATGGCTCAACTCAGTAAGACTGTCATTACGTTACCATAGCAACTGTTGTTAACAAATGTACTTCCAGATGAGATGATGCCTGGTAGCTAAACAGGGCATCAAGTTGGCCTGAGGTTTATGCGTGAAACGTGACGAGGGCAAAGATAATAACTTAACTTTTCTTCCTTACCTAACCGGTACTGCAACGAACTAATGTGCCATTTTGAAACTGATTAACCGATCCAGTTAAAATTCATAAAAAATATGTCAGCATTGTCGGTTTGATTACCATATTTGCGAACTAAAATAGATAGTGTGGTTTATCCTCCGTGACAGGTGTGCTTATTATTATCTTATGATATTGGTCAAGAATCCAGAAAAGCTAAACTAGTAAAGTGGATGCATGACGCTGCATATACATGCATACCGCTCTTGGAGGCCGTCACGTTGTCATATGAGGGAATCGTTTATAACATGTGATCAGACTATAATAAATATTGCCGAAATCGGCAAAAATATCACTATCACCCTGTACATACAAGATTAATTAAAAGGCGAGCCTGTTTGCAGGACCACAGTTTTCTGCCTCGAAATGTTCGTACAAAGTATCCGTATAAAAATTTTCGTGTGCTGCAAGAAGAGAGAGGTCTGAGCACTAGGAGGTGTCCCTGTCATTACCATTGGTCACGTGCCATCTCCTGCATGTACAGGGAAGACTGAGGAAAGATCAGCGAAAGTGAGCGAAGATGGTTAGTTTTTGTTTCGGTTATTTGGGTTTGAAGTACTATACAGGTTAACATTATGATATTCGCCTAAATTATGATTATTTCTCTAGCCTGTGACCTCATCAGCTTCGCAGGAAGATCAGGAGAAACTACTTGATGAGGCCATCCAAGTTGTGAAGTCTCAGTCATTCCAGATGAAACGATGTCTGGTAGGTGTCAACTTGTATCGGAAATTCGACTTGTCTTTGTTTCTTGCCTTATTGTTATTTATGAAAATGCCGTTGCAGGACAAGGGAAAGCTTATGGATGGCTTGAAACATGCGTCAAATATGTTGAGTGAGTTGCGGACCTCGATGCTGTCACCAAAAAGTTACTATGAATTGTGTATCCTTTTGTGCAGTGTACAAAGTGTAAAATGATCCGTGATTTATAAGTTACTTTAGATCTTGTTTTCACACTCTTAATTTTACTTGATGGTTGTGTTAGTGCTTTTAATTCTTCTATTGTCAATCGCAATAATTGAAGTAAGCGAGAGGAAACTCAGAGGAAATGTAAGATTTCGGTTATTAATTAAGTTTGATTTGAGTAAATTGAATTGAAATCATGGTGCAGGTCACCTATTTTGGGAGTTGTGCCTTGAGACCGGTTGTTGAAGAAGTTTGAATTGTGACTGTGTGTCCCCATTGGATAGGTGGCTGTCTGTCCATCTGTCTGTCTGTCTACAGGTTTCTGTTGTTGGTGGTGTAGCCTGTTTGCTGCAACATACTGAACTGTTCTACTTAAGAAATAGAAAACATGTGCCGTGTAAGTTTGGGAGAATGAGAAATGCTGTGGGAACACGAGCCACAGGCGAATGTTTCCACAGCTTTTTCGAGTTCTCCCAAACTTTCACGAGTGTTTCTGTAACTCGATAGAATCACGGAGAACATGTTTTCTATTTCTTAAGTTGAACAGTACAGTAAAAAACAACTTATTAACTTTGATTATCAAAATGTAAATTCTCTTTGCTTGTGCCATCATTAGTGGGGGGGGGGACAGGGGGGTCAGAACCTCCTGCCTCCCGTACCCTGCTCTCCCGTTTCCCGTACCTTTATCTCCCGCCTCCCGCCCTTTTCCGTGCTGCTTCCGTCCCCTGTAAATTGGCAGAGTCAAAACACATTCCAGTCATTTAGCTTTGCAATTCTTAAGCATTTCCTTTGTTTTTAAATAATTTAACAAGATTACCACTGCCATATGTTTCAATTCAATGAAGTTCTGACCTACTTGTTTATCTTCTTTGAGTTTCACCCTTTCAGTCCATTTTCATCGGCTCTTCAGATTTGTTTCTGAAATCCATTTTCAGTGTCCGCCTATTCTAATTGGAATCGATTTCGACTTGCCTAAAACAAAAAACTGAGACGTAAAATGAACCACTCCACACTCTCTAGCGCGCTCATTAAAGCAGCATTCAGTTGAGGCATCTCTACACCACGCAGTGAAATCTTTGGTCCGTTCTGATTCACGGTCATAAGGAGCAAGTTCCCAAGAAGGTCTTTCATGCACGGACCTTTCACTGCCGCACTGAAAAATACTGAGACCTGGCATATTGAACTAACACGAGCCACCTCTGAGTGCCATGGCGTCTTACTCGATGAAAAGGCTAAATTTTCGAGTACTACAGTTGGTTTTTGAAGTACTTGTGCTTCTCTCAGCAAGTTATTACGATCATAACTTCTCTGATAGCGATTATATCGGAAATTTGGGTAGATATCAGCAGCAATGTGTTACGNTTTCAAAATTGTCTTGGACGACATTGATTTGAGATCGCCTGCTCGTCTCACCTTTTTGCAATTTGACAGCTTGACATTTCATGACCTATGACATAACCACTGTAAATGGGTTTACTATTTGACCGGAAGTAAGCCTGTTTTTCAGCCCAAGCGCAAATTGTCATTTGCTCGTTTGCTCAGAAGTCTCAGAAGTGACTGAGAAGGCGTTAAATGCAAGTCAAATATATTTTGGGTTCCTGTTTTTGAAAGTATTCTAACGCATTGTTGAATTTAAAAAATCAGCATTTCGCATTTCTCTCCCGCTTCCCGCCCTCTTAAAACTCCCGCTTCCCGCCCTTTCCTCTCCTACCTCCTATACCCCTCCCGGCCCCCCTGTCCCCCCCCACTCATTACATCAACAGCTCGTGCTAGTTCTGTGTTTTTATCGAGTTATAGAAACATGATTTTTAACCAATCAGTGCACGTATTTTCTTAGGACTGTTTTCTAAATGGCATTTAATATTTTGGAACATGTTACACATGAGTCATTTTGTAGTCCAACATGTTGCGGTACCTTCCCACATGGCTAAACAGGGTGGCCAGAAAGGTCAGTGAACAATGTTGGATGATGTGGATCAAAATTATAGGAAAATTTGCTCAGGGTTGTTTTTGAGACTCCTAATTATTTTAGTTAGTAGAAGTCTTCAGTTAGGATACAAGAAGTGGCCATTGTAGTAACATTTCTTTTAAGAGAGTAGATTTGAAGATAGATTTAATTGCAGATGTGAATTGAATGTCTCAGGTTTGTTTTGTAAGTTTTTATCAAAAGAGTGTGTTTGCCCATAAGATCTCCAGATACCTTTCTAGGTAAATAGATATAATTTGTAAATTGATTGGCAGGATAAGTGTTGACATGTGTTACAGAGAGTTTGGTAAACCCTTAACTAGTTCAAGACATGGCAATATCTGATGAGCTGCGGCATCTTGAACTGTTCCTTGTTGATGAGTTCCAGAAGGGACGTAGAGTTGCAGATCTTTATGAACTGGTCCAGTATGCAGGAAACATTGTTCCACGACTGTAAGTGAAATGACAAACATTATAAAACTTTGTAGGCTGTAACTTTTTGTGACTGTTAGCTTTATTACAGTGGAACCCTGTTTACAAAATAAGTCTGTCTACATATAATACCAACAGACATGTTTTGTTATCATGATAATTTTGAAAGAGAATGGTCATTTGGAGATTGCATTTTTCACAAATGTATGATGGATAGTCAGGCTATGTAAATTGAAATAAGCTCCAGCAATGAGTACCTGGGGGAGTCACTCGCTCATCTTTGCTCGTGTGAGTGGAGCATAAGGCTGCATCCAGCTAAGAGGGGAGCTGGGTATAATGGGACAGGGAGATGTGAATGAGGCCAAATTTTTTCACCCGAAACCAAACCAGATTCTAAAACTAGTCTCAAGAAATTCCAGTGATCTAGAATATGACCCTGCATAGTCCCTTTTTCTTAAAAAAAAAAACAAAAAAAAACAGGCAGTCTGCTTGTCCTTTACATGACATTGTACATGTAGCTTATGTTATTATGGTAAATGATGCTGTTACCATTGTCTGTCATAAAAGGGAAAACCCTTGGTTATGCTTTTTGTCAATCGTCAGGGTAACCACAAAATTTTCAGTCCTCCAAAAATCCTCAGATCACAAAGTTATTGTAGAGCTTCCCTGTCTCTGGGTGGTTGAGGTTCAGACTTCCTTAAAAGGAAGCTTACTGATAGGGACAAAACAGTGCAGTACACGCCAATTAACAGACTTTTCCATTTGACAACTCAGATATTTACTGATAACTGTTGGAGCAGTTTACATCAAAGCCAAGGAAGCGTCTCGTAGAGATATCTTGAAAGACTTGGTTGAAATGTGCCGAGGAGTTCAGCACCCCCTGAGAGGCTTGTTTCTTCGTAATTATCTGTTGCAGTCAACAAGGAACATGTTACCAGATACTAATGAAGAGGAAGTGTAAGATATAAATTATTTTAGAAGAACTATGTCACTATAGTAATGATGGTTCAATATTTCAACTATACTGTTAAGAATGTAACTTGTTCAACAACATCTGCAGAGATCTGTGTTCACTTAGGGCCTCCTTCCACCCCTTCATTTTTGATCCACTGTGACCATCTTCAGCCATGAAAACCTGGATTAAGTGGCAAGTTTAGGAAGACCCATTGTTCATTTATATTCTGCTTACTTGAAATTGTTAGGATAGTGTAAGGTGAAGTTAAAATGTGTTCACTAACATAGATTAACATCACAGGTTTTGATGTATTGAATTTTGAGGAAGTTGAATGGTGACGTTTGTCAGTGTGGCAGAGTGGTTAGGTCGCCGGACTTGAGCTGATATATTTGTTTCTTTCAGTTAAAGTGGCATGCCTGTGAACTAGTTAGGTGTAGCTAAATGATTGAGCACTGAAAAAAAAAATTTGAACATTTTTTTGGAAACTTTTGTTGAATTGTAGAGCTGAATCTGAACACCAAGATGGAACTGTAAAAGACTCTATATCCTTTGTGCTCTTGAACTTTGCCGAGATGAATAAGCTGTGGGTACGAATCCAGCACCAGGGTCACACACGGGATCGAGAGAAGAGAGAGCGCGAGCGCCAAGAACTTCGCATCCTTGTAGGGACAAACCTTGTCAGACTTAGTCAGCTTGATGGAGTTAATGTTGAGACCTACAAGAAAGTAAGTTTATTCTCTGAGAGTTTGCATGCGGCTTGAAATCCCTCGAAAGTCAAGGTCTAGACAATCCTTGAAAAGTGATTTGTGTCTGAAAGTCTTTGAAATATGTTGTTATTGATCTCTAAGGTCATCTCTCAAAATTAGTGGACTGCAAAATTAAGCATTGTGGTACAGTGGTCTTAGCATGGTCATTCTCGTGTGTTGTGTTTTTAGGCAGGTTATCATTCAGAAGACTTGTGTTCAGCTAGGTGTACCTACCACCTTCTGTGGCTCCAAATGAGTTGCAAATTAAGAACTTATGTGTTTAATTCTTTTACCTCATTAGCATGTCCTTCCAGGAGTGTTTGAACAAACAGTGAGCTGTCGAGACCCAATAGCTCAGGAATACCTGATGGAGTGCGTCATTCAAGTGTTCCCAGACGAGTTCCACCTTAGGACATTGAGCAGTTTTCTTCATGCATGTGCAGATCTCCATGAAAGAGTGAACATAAAAAATATCATCATATCACTCATTGATAGACTTGCGTTGTTTGCAAACCGGGAGGATGGTGGAATACCGAGTGAGATAAGATTGTTTGATGTGATGTCAGAGCAAGTCTCGTCTGTGGTGCAGGTAACTGCTTTTGAATGGGAGGTTTCTGCCTTACATTGGTGTCCACTCTGAGGGAATTGACTTTATACTTCTAACACACATCTCTTTAATATTAACACTTGTGCAATATGATAACATAGAACTGTACATCTATGTACATGCAACTACTGTACATATATAGGAAAGTGGGTCTGCCAATCAAGGCAAACATCAATAATTATCATTCAGTACAATTTGTTTTTCCTTTTCATTGACGGAGAGCCTGCTATGTGACCTGCAAGTAACTGCCTACAAATAATGGTCTGCTTGTGCATAATACCGGCTAAAAGTGTTTTCCTGCAATTAATAAATTCTGCTCATATGTCATTGCAGCCACACTCTTGGGTGAAAAATGGGTGATCACTTCCCTGAGCTGTCAGAGAGTGATTTAAATATGAAAACAAACTTGGTGATTGAATGAAAAAAAAATTTAGTGAACTTGGCCTCGTTACATAATTGATCTGCTTGTCACTGACAAATCACAGTATTTTGCTCAATCTCATCAAATAATTCTTAATTATTTACATTGTTTTTATTCCTGTTTCAGACACGCAGTGACATGCCAACAGAAGACATTGTGTCTCTTCAAGTGTCGCTAATTAACCTTGCTCTGAAGTGTTACCCTGAGAGAGTGGATTATGTGGACAAAATCCTACAGTACACTTCAGAGATTTTCAGCAAACTCAACTTGACTCAGTAAGTTGATGAAGTTTGAGAAACGTCAGGGAAAAAGTTGTGGGGAAACTATTGAAGTAACTGATGTTCTTAGGCTCTATTTCCCAGTTGGGGGCTGGAAATGAAGATGATATAGCTGACATTCTAGGGTGTGTGTGTTTTAGAGAGGAGTTCGATCTTGTGTATGGTTTGTATTAATCTGATTTAATGAACCTTGTAGAATCAACTCTGATGAAAGTGGACAGAAGCCACCAAAAATTCAGAAAAGAAAAAAAAAAACAGATCAGGTTACAAAAACCTTAAAATCACTGATCATAACAGTTGAAGTGATTTTAGAGCTCTTGTGACAAATTCTAGGTCCAATGCATTTTATACAAAGTCAGTTTCAAAGCTTATGATGGCAAAAAATTTGAAGAAATGGATGTGTTCTGTTTCCAGCATGGACAAGAACAATGCAGTTTCTAAGGAGCTGACCAGACTACTAAAGATCCCAGTAGATTCTTACAACAACATCCTAACACTGCTTCAGCTGGAGTACTTTGCTCCTCTGTTTGAGTATTTTGACTACAGTTCAAGGAAAGAAATGTCTTTATATGTAGTCAACAATGCTGTGGAAAGTGCTCTGAAAATTCCAACCCAGGAACAGGTAATGGAACATTTCATTACTGATCAGCTGACAACCTAATTATGGAGCATGCTACTCCACCTAAGTGTGTTAAAGGGTGCTGCTGAGTTAAATACTGGGGGTAACCCAGTGATGGACTACATGGTACATTCCATCTCATCCCATTCATAAAGGTTGCTTCATGTTACAGAAACTAGAGAAAAGTGCTAGCCACTAGGGTCATAAATTAATGTGTGGACTTCTTCTCTCTTATGATAAAAATAGTGCATGTGATCATTGTTTGCAAGTCGTCTTTGTGACTTTAGTTGCTTTGAAAGGATAAGCTGATATAGAATTAGATTTGACATTTGCCCTTGCAACTGGTGTGTTTGTCCCCATGGCTGTCTGCAAAATGCAGTAGTGTTTCTTTGAACCTTTCTCTACATATATAGTGTATTCTAAATGTTTGGTGTTGTGTGCTAATAAAAATGGCCATATTTTGAAGACTGGTTTACTTCCGAAGACCAAACTCTTCATCTTATTTGTCCATACAGTAACCATACATTTTTCAAACAAAATGTTTACAACAATACAGAAAATCAATTAGAGATGTAATAATTAGAAGAAACAAATGAAATTTTTATCGTGAGTCTGAAAGAGTTGTTTATTTCAGGTTGATGCTGTTCTGATTCTTGTGTCTTCGTTGGTTTGTGACCAAGAAGACCAGCCTTCTGAACCAGTGAGTATTCTGTTTGTGATATTTAATCTAGAGGTGTTTTGTTCTTGTGATTGTGCTTGTAGTTAACAAAAACTTCATTCTGTTTTTTTTCTCTTATAAAGGATGATCCAGAGGATTTTGCTGAAGAGCAGAGTCTGATGGGAAAGTTTGTGACACTGCTGAAAGGCGACAGTCCTGACCAGCAGTATCTGGTGAGTTTGTAAATAAGTGTTGTTCTTGAGAAAAACCATGCAGGGCACAAAGACTGCAAATTTTCAGGATTGCTCTTTTGAAAAACTCTAACTATGTTGTACCAGATGAAAATCCTTTTCACTCACTCCCAAAGTTCATCCCTTACAGTACTTCAGTCTGTAATTTGAATTTCCTCAAAAACGTATCAAGAAACTTAACTTGCCCACAAGGCAAGTGACGGACACACTCCACTAGCCTGAGACTATTGAACAGTACTTTCTTTGCACTCAGCCATGATCGGTCATCTTACTGGCATCATGAGAGAAATGTGCTGTAAGTTGTCATTCATCGTCCATGTAAAAACCTGTGTAACTTAGGTGTAATAGTGATGTGAAAGAAAGGAAACAGCCTAAAATGATGACGAGCAGGAAAGCAATAACTCCAAACCAAAGAAAACCTTTTTACAGTGATTTAAACCTGCTATTCATAGTTAGATGTCCTTTGCCTCTTGTGTTGATGGGACAGTTCATTGTAGTGTATTTATTTGGCATCTACAGTATTTCTGTGTTGTTTTGCTAAGTTAATATGAATTTTGTTTTGTTTGACAGATCCTCAATACGGCTAGAAAACACTTTGGTAGTGGTGGTGAGAAGAGAATAAAGTACACATTACCTCCAATTGTTTTCTCAGCATTTCAGCTTGCCTACCAGTACAAAGATGCTCGTGAAGAGGTGAAGTTTCAATCCTTTTAGTTGCACTGAATCATCAGCGGGGTTCCAGATAATTTTTCAATGCAGGGTGTCAATAATGAATCCCAACAGGTCAATTTGCACTGCTCCCACCAAATCACTACAAATTTTCTGTTAATTTGTTGGGTCAGGTAGCTGACCTTGTTGGGTTTTTGACCTGAGACCCTTCACTCATCTGGAACACTGCAGCGGTCCCCAGCTGAGTTCCCTGTGATCACCACCAGTGACTGGTGAGTCTAAAATGGTCTTTTTTGTCGCAGACATTTCCACACATGGCATTTCGTTTCAGCAATTTGTAGTGCATTATCAGAGGTTAATGATCACAGGAGGACAGTTGGGTATTGAATTAAAGAAAATTATTTAGAGTGTGGAAGGATCAGGGACTTGAGGTAATAGATGCAGAAATATATCTGCAAACTGAAGGTAGCTTTGGTAAGTGCTTGAACAAGAACCTAGTACATAGTTATACACAAAATATAGGTTTGTTAAATTAGTTTATTTCGGAAGGAGCTCTACAGGTAAATTGTTCATTTTTTTTCTGTTAGGATGATAAATGGGACAAGAAATGCCAGAAGATCTTTCAGTTTTGTCATCAGACAATAACTGCACTTGCCAAAGCAGAATACGCTGAACTTTCACTAAGACTGTTCCTTCAAGGTGCTCTTGTTGCCAACCAGGCTGGGTTCTCTAATGCTGAAACAGTAGCTTATGAATTCATGAGCCAGGTGAGAGTTATTGTTCAGCAGAAAATAAGACCCTTTTTCAGTTTAATTCTGCCCGCAGACAAGGAGCTGGGATGGCGCAGTGGTGAGAGCACTCCCCTACTTGCCTCCCACTAATATGGCTTGGGTTCGATTCCAACCTGGTGTCATATGTGGGTTGGGTTTGTTTCTGGGCACGAAATAAAGATTGTTGTTGTTGTTGTTGTTGTTGTTGTTGTTGGTTCTTGCCTTGCTCCATGGGTTTTTCTTTGGGTTCTCTGGTTTTTTTCCCTCCACAAAAACCAAGATTTCCAAATTCCAATTCGACCAGGAAAGATGATCCACATGAAAACGAACTAAGGCTGATGTGGCTTGGTCTCCAAATAATTTATTGTAATATTTGTTATTTGTTTGTGAAGAAGTTGCATGGCAACATGGAGTTGCCATGGTGATGGCCTAGACAAAGGGTTTCTGCCTATGGGGAAGCTTGAGAACCACAGAATCATACTTAAATTGTTTTCAGTTTTTCTGAAAATACTAATTAGCCTAGGCAGGTAGTAAAATTCTGGCAGTTTTTGATTGTTGTTGACTCCCTGTTGAGTAAATGCAAATAGGTTTGGTAGACAGCAAGAGCTCAATGAAGTCAATGTTTAGTGTCCAGTGTAAAAAATCTTATTCTTTTGCTTGTGGTGTCTTTTTCAGGCGTTTGCTCTATATGAAGATGAGATCAGTGATTCCAAAGCTCAGTTAGCCGCCATCACGCTCATGATCAGTACATTTGAACAAATGAGCTGTTTTGGCGAAGAGAACCATGAGCCTTTGCGCACCCAGTGTGCTCTGGCTGCGTCCAAACTCCTCAAGAAACCGGATCAGTGTAGAGCAGTCGTGGTGTGTTCACACTTGTTTTGGTCGGGAAAAAGCCGGGAGGCTGAAGGAGGGGAGGTAAGTCGCTATCAGGGTCGTCACGCTTGTCACGAAACGTTTTTCGAAAAAACGATTGCGTGACGGTTCAAGTTCGAGTCGTTCTTTAAAGGGTGTCGCGGTCCAACTCAGTGAAGAAGTCTGGATTTTTAGTGAAACCCCGATAACTGACCCCAAGGTAACGAAGTACGAGATTCTTCATTCCAGTAAGAGTAATAACTATGGAAAAGAACCCGGACACAACTGATTTTGCCAGCCCTTTTGAGTTGCATTGTAAAATAAGGTATCATTGCACAGGAGTTACGAGGCAAAGTGCTTTTACGTATATCGTATTTTTTGAAGTCATTGTCTGCCTTCATACCACAGCTGAGAGACTTGTTCAAACTCGTTTTCAGGGCTTGTCTTTCCACGACGCACGAAAGCGAAAGACCCTGGAAACGAGATTATTGCCAACGACTAGTCCTCAGTCATAATCGTACCAGAAATATTTTAAGACGCGGGGATGATCAGATAGTAAAGTGAAAGGGGTTAAGCAGACTGTCTTTTTCCTTGTCCAAGCTCTGAAAGGACAAAGGGTATATTCTTTGAGCATAAGTGTTCATTTAGTACACCAAACAGCCACTGACAGGGTGTGTATAATATTTACAGTGCCGTGACAGCAAGCGAGTGACGGAGTGTCTAAAGAAAGCTGTTAGAATCGCAAATCAGTGCATGGACAGCACAATCCAGCTGCAGCTGTTTGTAGAAGTCCTTAATCGCTACCTTTACTACTTTGAAAAGAAGGCAGACACGGTAGGATATCAAACAAATTTGTTTTCTACTCTGTTAGAGCAGTTTTCAATTGAGTGTCGTAAAACCAAAACCTAAGTAATCACTCTAGCCAATCACAAAGGACACAGACAATACAGTGAACCAATCAAAACTCGAAGAAAATACATGAAGTGCACGCAAAGCGCGGGAAAACGCGTTTGAGCGAGTCACGATTGGTTTTGGTTTTACTTCTGATTGGATAAAAAAAGTTGCGCGAGTTTTTTAAGCCAATCGTGTGGCGTAGTAAGGGCAAAACCAATTACTTTTCGAAACTCAAATGAAAACCGCTCTACTGCATTTTACATTTACATTCGCGTCTGGATTCTTGCAGAGTTACCCAGTGACATGAGTGCAAGATTAAATAAACAAAATTTAAATACAAAAATAAATAGGGAAAGCTGAAATAAAATGGAATAAAATTACAAGTAAAAGTGGTCAGAGATGTTGGCCTCAAATTTTGTTAAATGGAAGACTGTTCCAGTCAAAGAAAGTTCTGACAGTAATGCAGACATCCGAAATCTAAACGTGACTGCTACTAGGAAACAATTGGTGACTGAAATTTGCCCGCTATTTTTTCCTCTTTAGACGAAGAAATTAACGATAATGGTTTAGATCGTTAGAAAAGTACTTGGTCAATGACAAGGTGCCATTGAAATTGAGGATCACAAACGACGTGAAGATGGAAATGGGATGTAAAGTGGAAATATTAAAAATATGGATCTCGTGTTATCACTTTTTGCCGGTATTTTTGTGGAAGTTTTGAACTAAAATTCCTTTTGCAGCTGTTCATGGAATTTGGTGAGAGTTTCACAAATCGAAGGTTAAATTTACAAAGGTTAAAGTTACGAATCAAAAGCTGTTCTCAAGTCTCTTGTGTTGCAGTGCCATCTTCACTCACATTTAACAATTCTTCCACTCGTGCTTGTTGGATATGAGATGGTGGTGATCTACCATCTGATATCCAATAAGCGCGAGTAGAAGAATTGGTTTATTAAAAACACCCCCAAAATGTAGAAAACTAAAATAAAATAAAAAGAAAAACGCCCCCAAAAATCACGCGTATGCTTACCATATTTGTACAGCATGGTATAATGGCTCTTATATCATGATGGCTAAGCCAATGAAAACTCTTTAATTGCATTTTCCAAGATCCATGTTTTAATAATTGGTTATATTCTGTATCCTCATCAGGTGACTGTCACTGTGATTAACCAGTTGCTCGAGAAAATACGCGAAGATCTTCCTGGTTTAGAGGGAACAGCCGAAACGGAGCTGATAAGAAAGCACTTTGAAAGCACCATCGGCCACGTACAGCTCAAGAAAGAATCACCTGATGAAGAATCGCCCTCATACGAAGAAGTAAAGATATGAGATTTATTACCCAGTAGATAATTATAAGAGTTTAACTTAGTGAATTGTGTAAAACTAAAAAGCTTGTCGTCGGTCAGGTTGAGTGAATTAGCGCGAAGTAAGATAGGAATGGTAGTCGCATTTGGTGATTGTAGCGTTCAAGAAGAAAACGAGTGTGATCCTAGCTCTAAGCAAGGCCATCGGTGAAACAAATTTACTAGGAAGTACAAGTACAATTACTGTATAAAAAACAAAATTTAAGTATATATCGTGACGTCTGACCTTATGTGAGAAGCGAACGACTCCCTCCTGTCACGCTAGGTTGATCCAGAGATAGCTTGATTGACGTTACGTGACAGCAGTAAGAAAGTCACGCAATTCCTCGTGAGTACGAACCGAGCCTAAAACATGTACGGACACCAATAAATAGAACGGAGAAAAATCTGAAAAAAAAAATAAGAAATCGAGAAACTCGAACAAAACGTGATTATCAACAAGTTGCTGCGTAGTTTGTCAAATTGTCAAATGTCTGCTTGGTGAGATGTAAAAATAAGGTAGTTGGAAAACGGCGTCTATCTAGCTGTATTCTTTTAGGATTCATTACAGTAGCACAGTGTAAAAAGTTCTGTTTTTTAACAACATAACAAAAACAAGCACGAACAGAACCACAACAACTAAAACAACAACAGTAGCGGTAACTACTACTGCTACAACAATAACAATAACAATAACAACAACAACAACAATAGCAGCAGCAACAGCAAAACATCAACAACAACGACAACAGCAACAACAGCGACGGTTAATGAATCATTCTCTGTTTAGCGTTAATCACAGGCCTAACAGCGATGAATGTGTAACTTCTCCCTAGCTTTTTACAACAATTTTAAGTAATATGGTGATAAGAGTAAAGCACCTTATCATCTCAGGAAAGACCTGCTGACCAAGAACCAAGTTCTCCCAAGCAGAATGATGTTAAGTGTATAAAAAAGTACGGAGAAGTTATGTATTGAGCTTAGTACTTCATAAAGTCGCGGCAAAGACGTGTTTTTATACATTTTGAGTTTAGTCTGTATTTGGGAAAATGGGAAGGGGAATTAAATGTTTTGAAGTAGAGTATTATTGCTGTCAGTGCAGCTTTTTGTTAAGCTTTGGTTAACGGACATCCTTCGCCCTTGGTTCTGGGGTCCTTTAGCCCTCTAGGGCTTTGTGCGTTCAATTCTTCCCGAGAGAAGTGCGAGATTTAGTGCCAAAGATTTCATACTGATGACGTAGGTGTCCAGAAAGTCGTGTAGTGTCTGTGATTGGTGGTTACTTGCGCGGGAAAATTCCTCACCCAAGTAGAAACCCGTCAGAGTTGTTTCGAGCCGGCAAAGAGTAGAGCGCGCGGAAAGATGTCTGTTTGCTCGGAATTTACTATTTTATAAGTAAATGAGTTGTCGAGCTCACTTTGTCATGTTGAAACGAATGAGTTTCTCTGCAAGAAAAGTTCTTTTCGTTATTGGAAAGAAAATCTAAAGAGGAAACTACACCGTGTTAACATTTCATTTTTGTGAATTTTTGAAAATTTCAAGAAACGTTTCATTGTTCGTCATTCACAAACCTATTAGCAAGCAACTTCTTGCTTAGCCAACAGTATTGGCGTTTAGCTTAACGATCTTTGAACAAATTTCATTCAACCTCACCTCTACTCCCTAGGATTCTTTTTCTCTCTCCCCACCCATCTCCTGTTTTTCGAATTGAAAATGGAGCCGGATTAAAATACATTTGCTCTAAAATAGATCTGAATTGTAGACTATATCGCTATTACATAAATGCCTTTCCAAGCGGTTTTCCGTTAATAAAATAGACTTGTTAGAACTCGTCTATAGTTAGAGTCGAATGCTCATTATACATTGCTTTCAGGTAAAATAAGTGATCGTTTTTAATGATGCACAAACTGAAGACGGAAGGTGAAATACTGATGTAAATTCCAAAGTACAAAATTCTTGCAATAAATATGAATTTTTTACAGCCTTGTTTCCAGCCTGAGTGTGTTTCGTCAGACGTCCCTCTCTCCCGTTTTAGTGTTGCGTGACGGAGAGAGGGCCAGAATAACACTACCTTGCTTACGGAAGTCGGAAGGAGTAAAAAAAAAAAGGTGAATACGAAGGCGACCCCGAGGACGTCTGAAAAGACCCTACTATTTTACTTAAGAATTCAGCATATCTCTGGAAACAAGGCAACATATCGTAACATTATTGGGCGCAAGTTCTGCCACCCTGTTCAGTGCGCCGTCTTGCGACGTGATGTGTGTTGTTGGCCAAGCTTGAAAATGGTCAAATTTTTCATTCAACAGTTGCGGATGTTGCGTGATGTTGTACTTGTTTGGCCATGTTGCGGCAGGGCACGCGCACTAGTTCGATTTGTAACACCTAACGTGTCGCAACACGTCGCAACACCTAACATGTCGCAACACGTCACAACAGGGCTTGCCAACACTGGGTCAACAGTGTTGCGATCGCTTAATTAGGCATGGAGTTCCAGAATCAAATACAGCTAAGCCACCGTGGTGTTTCACGTTTAAAACACACGGAATTTAGTCACATTCAGTTGCCTTTCGGAAGTCAGAAAGAAGTACTGTATGCCTTACATAACACTATTTGCCTCGGGACGTTTTTGTTGCCGTTGTCGTAGTGGACAAACGTTTCGGTATTAACTGAGGACAAACGTAAAGGTTTAAAACGAAACAAAAAGCAAATGAAAACACAAAGCAAATGGCGTATATTAAGTTGATGGCTAGAGATCTAACTTTTGGTTGAATTTCTGATAATAACATTTGCCGTTTCTACTGTCTGGAAATTATAAAGTTGTTTTGAGATTTGAAGTAATCACCCTATTCTTTTTAGCCCCTCTCTGTTAAACCTTCCACCCCCCCGCCCCCTTGTACGAGGCGTGAAATTAAATAAGCCCTCCCCCCATAGAACTTTCTTTACTTTCTTTCTTTGCTCGTCGGAAAATTTGAATTAAGCCCCTAAAGGAGACCAATATGGGCGCGGCTCCAACTTTATTCGACCCCGAAAAGATACCACTTAAAACGGAATAGGCTCGATCATCAGCCGCTGTTCAGGAAAGGAGCCTGCGCTAGTAGACCTGAGATAGCGACGGAAATACGGAGATCGAGTCCAAAAACGGAACAAAGAGCGCTTTTTCGATTTTTTATTTCTTTGATTGCATCCTAAAATATACTTTGGCAGCTAAAAATGGGTAACCCGAAAACACTGACCTCCGGTCCGCGGACCCCCACAACGGACCGGGTCCGCGGACTACCCTACGGACCGGTCCATGGACTACCCCTACGGACCCCCTCTACGGACCACCCTAAAATAGTGTAAATAGTGTTTCACTGTGCAAACGTAACAGACTTGGGTTTTAACGCCTCACCCCCGTCCCCCCCTCCCCCCAAAAAATTGCCTAAAAGCCGTTTTCAGCGTAAGGAGATGCCGATGTTAAGAGGGAAAGTTCTTACCTTCCATTGGTGGCTCAATCTGGCTATGGAAGATATATTTTTAGGCTGTTTATTCTTGTTTATATCTGTTATTCCGCTAAGTAAATTGTGAAGCCTGGAACGAGTTCACGAGCCCACGGGAGGATGGGCTGAACAAAATGGCGGAGGGGAAAGAACACAAATTTCGAGTCTTCCTGGAGGCTTCCCCGTACGCGTCTTTCGTATACTTTGTGGCCACAGCAAAGGAAATGGCAATGTGTAATTGTATGAATTGCACCTAAGCCGGAATCCAGGTCTGCCCATTTGCACAATGTAACGTTCGAAATTTCGACGTCATGAGTAATCTATTAGACAACCCGCAACTGAAATATTTATTTATTATTTTTATTATATTTTGAGGGGTGGTCCGTAGAGGGGTCCGTAGGGGGAGTCCGTGGACCGGGGATCAGTGTTTTCGGGTTACCCGNCCCCCCCCCGGATTCCTAGCTGTACACAACTGTGCCCGAGAGGACCCGGGCAGTCCTTCATCTTTCCTAAGGAAAGAAATTCTGGAATTTTATTTTTTCTAGTTGCGGTCCAAATAAATTCTTCGGCCTTTCACCCCACGGCACGCTGTTGAAGATTGCCGTTCAGTTATTGAAATATCTCCGCCCACGATTTTTGGTCCTCTCGTAAAGCTGAACATATTCCTCCTTTTATAAGAATATATTTTAGAGTATCGAGGTTGAAAATCAAATTTGCGAAATTTTAAGAATATTTTAAGAATAAACCCGAGGCTGCGATTGTGAAAAGAATATAATTTTGGGCGTGGAAAATTTGTAAATACGGCACAATTATGTTTGTAACTAAACCATATAAAATTCTCCCTTTCTCTAAACGGCAAAATTAGCCAAAATCAACAAAAACAGCAGTAGCTGTATATATGTTTGATGCTAATAACGGTTCTGCATGAAGTCATGCCTGTTCGTCATATCAGTCTTTATTGCCGACAGTTTGGCTCCAAAATTTCTTCAACGCCATCAAAATCAATAACACGTAAATGTCTTACGCTATAATCTAAGAATATTCACAATAATATTTTCAGCCGCCTAAAGTCGGCAGAAAAATAAGAATATTCAGCCTGGGCCGGAAAACAATATTCTTATTTAATATAGAAGAGTGCAAATCTCTAATATATCAAACAATATCCCGTATTTTCTCGTTTAAATACCGCCGGTGTTTACTTTTAGCTCGGTGGACACGGCGATTGTTGACTCCTACAGTTTATTTGAGCTCTGTATTTAATACGCAACTATAAAACCTGGCATTTATACAGCTTTGTTTTTACTTAAGCGTTTTCGATTTAAGTCACTACTTTTGTGTCGTCGATAAAAAGAGTAATTCTTAATATTCTTGTCAACACCAGGCTGCTAAAAGCCTGAAATTTATAGAATGGAAAAACCCCCACCGAACATTCTCGGTCTTCCTAGACTTGAAAGTAATTTTTTCTGTGTTTTGTGTGAATAAAAACCAATTAAAGCTGAACTGACATCACTCTTTTAACGCTTGTGATTGAACAGTTCAGAAGTTGTCATTTTTACAGGAAAAAAAAAACATTTTACGCCAGTCAGCCTAGAGAATGGACAATCACCAGCTAGTCTAAACATTTTAAGTTCATCAAACAAAGTTGTTTCGTTATTGTTTTATTAATGCATTTCTACTTTGGCAGATTAATTTATTTTCCAACTCTTGACTTCATCTTGACAGCATGACAATATGATATAAAAGATGTTTTCCTGTTTGCCTGAGGAAGAAATATTCTCTCTACAGCAGACAGGAAAAGTGCCTAAGAATCAATATTAAAACGAATCCGAGGACAAATCGAAGGTCACCGACAACATGTTTTTAGGCATATCGCTTGGTACTGAAAATGAGAAGACACTGCCATGTCTCGCGTAAAGCGTGCAGAAGATAAGTAAGGCAATAAAGGTGTAAACAGCACCATACAGCTTCAAGTTCGGATGTCCCCTGCAAAGTATGTAGATGACGTTCGCGAGTAGAATATTTTCAATTTTGACATGAGTCGGACAATAAACTTCGAGGTGGGCCCGGACAAACGGCAATAAAATTCGTCACCTGTTTGAGTTTCAATTCTTTTTGCACCACGTGCCCGATGTTAATTTGCCTTTTGTCATGTTTCTTATTTTGAACCTACTGTATCAGAACAAAGAATATGCCAACCAATCTTTGCACATGCATGAAAAATGACGTTTACGTTTTGTGTTTGGTTCGGCAAATTTTGAATAGAATAATTCCGCCTTCTCTAGTCAAAATTATCATGAAAAGAAAATAGTGCTGAAATGTTGTTTCGTTTTTCAAAGGCTTAATAGTTTTCTATTTATTTAAGGAAAATGATAAAGAGTTTGTCCTGCCTGACAAGAACGACACGGAATCTGCTTCCATGGGATAAATGCTTCCAATTTTTTTTAAGGATTCGGTTTTCGTCGTCTTTCTGTTTATTAGTGTTTATTTTTGTGAACTACGTATGAGATAAAGTAGAAAGTCTTTCACGTATGAAATCGACTTTATGAAGAGTGCTACTATTTTAGGTCGACCCACGCTGTCATATTCCAAACTGTGTACCTCCTCGAACCCGATCCCTCGGACTAAACAAGCGTTTGAATAAAAGCAACCAAAAACTATTTTTATTTCGGCGACTTACCGCGGACAGCTGGCAGAAGGCTGTTTGCTCCGGATGACGATTTGAATAGATTGCCCAGACAAGGAAAATAGCTTTGTTTTGTTCGGGCGCTTTTGATTGGCAGAATTTGCAGTAAGCTGGCTTTTTAAAAATCTTCTTCAATTTGCGATGATTACATAGTCCGCAACTTACGTATTCTTCAAGTTTTGATCAAAAGGCAGACATTTTTCACGAGGCAAGAATGGGTTGTAGTCCTTCTCACGCGGTTATTATTAATCAATCGCCGACACAAGAGACGATATGTTTGCAACCGCGAATTTACATGGTTTCGGAATCGACTTTGTGTCTTTTACAAGACGTTGGAGAATTGAGAGTTTATCACGTCGACGAGCGAGATCCTGAAACCGCGATCGAGAGATTTCGCGGCGCACAAGACCAGCTTCAAAATCCTCTTTCATTTCATCCTCAGCTTCGCAGCGCACGGCGGGAGCGACTCAACACCATCGATTTGCAAGCGGCCGGGCCATCAAGCGCTTCAAGCGAAACGGAGGAAAACGTTCGGGTTAGAATCGAAGTCGTCGAGGAACAAACAGAACAACGCGATGATGTTGATGATCTCCACAGTAACAGTAGTGGTAAAGTTTGCGACAATGATGCGCTACAAACAACAGAAATACCCGAATCGCCAAATGCGCACTCCGTGACTGTTGAAGTTTACAGTTACAAACAAAGCTCAGATGGACTACAGGAGGAACATGAGGTAAAGGACAATTTAAGTGACGAGGAAAAGAATTTCGAGCAGGTTAACGTGGAAAGCTCTGCTTCTTCAGTTGCTGTGGTAGCAACACAACAAAATCAAACATCTGATGAACAATGCGAAACCAGTGAAATAGATGACGAGGATGCCATAGATAGCCGCGATACACTAAAAGATGCCACTCTCGCCTGGTCAGAAACTACGGATGAAGCAAAGCAGAGGATAGAAAATGGAGCGAATCAAAGCTCAGAGACAGATCAAGCTGTTTTTACAAGAATCGTAAGTGAAACGACCCCGCGGGGAAAAGAATCGACAAGTCAAGAACTCGAGCTGTCGGAAAATATTGACGATTGATTTATTTCGCGTAAACGATATTTATGGAAAGAACCCACTAGAAAGCGGGAGAAGAAAACTGAAAATTTACAAGCAACTGTAAGCAATACCCCAATACCAATTTGATGTTGCTCACTTTGCCAATAGGTCGTTTAGAGTATTGCTCTACAAAAAAAAAAAAAAAGAAAAGAAAAGAAAAAAAAAAAAACATGAAATACACATCAACCCATTCAATGGTTGAAAAACACTGCAAAGCCAGTTGAATTTTATTGCATTGATAATGAACATTTTTCTACGAGAACTTCGCGATTTTATGAATGTTAACAAGCGGCGGGCCGCACGTAAGCGAATATATTTTCCTGACTTGTTATAATTCGCTGGTATAGGTTTACGGAAACATTTAACTCACTACGTCGTTTACATTGCAAATGGCTTTTAAGCGATAATCGTCCATTTACGCAAATCTAGCGCCACTGGGAACGATGTGTAGTTTTCGCTACTTCCTTACTTGCTTATCACGCACAAATGATTTGCTTTTCGAGTTCTTTTTGCAGGTACATTAGCTTGATACGTCGCTTAAATTACCTTTAGCCATCAAGGTGCATTAACTAACTAACGAGGTCTTTCTCCTGTTATTTGCCTGTTGTATGCGTGATCGATGTATAATAACAAAAATATTTCATGCATTACTGAGCGGTAAAACGAACGAGCAATTTCGTCGATTGAAACAATTTAAATGTACTTTAAGGGTAATTTTCAGCCTTTTATGACAAAGCTCTTCAAGCAACCAAATTAGCTTTGGCCGGCTTTAAATCTTGTTTGCAACCATTTTAAAATTTTGGTCACAAAGCGAGAAGAACTGTTGATAGCTGAATATGTAATTATCACGGATTTTTTTTCTTTCAGGAAAATTCCATTTCGAGCTTTTACAGTTTTTCGTTTTAACTAAACTACTGTTTTTCTGGGTTGCATTGTAAAGATAATAACGATATTGGCTTGTTATCGGATGTAATTTCATCGAATGTTGTGGTTTTTCAGGACAAATTCAAGCATTTACAGCTGCTCTTTACCCAAATCGTCCCACAGTCATTTGCATTTTAACGTATATTTTTTCTTTTGGTTCTTTTGGCAATATTTATTCACATATACACAACTTCGGCCGTGGAAAAGATGTGGTTGCAGCCATCCCAATTTGCTCAGTTCACAGTTCGAAGTGCGTTTCCTAATCAATTTTGAAACCACTGCAAGAAATGATGCAAGCCTTGAAAAGTAAATAAAATGCGAGATCTTTGTTAAGTGACCCAGCTCGAGAGATGACATCGCCATTGCATTCGACCCTTACATTGCCTGTCTTAATAAAAACGGAAACGTTAATGGAAGAGATAACTTGTAAAAATCTAACAATGAAAACTATCTGTTGTCGCTGAACGAGTTCGCAAATGTCAGCAAGCTCGGTAAATGAGGGATTTCTTCATGTATTGGCTTCCCGCTGTCATTCTGTCAGTAGAAAAAATGAGAAAATCAGATGAAACAATCATTGACAGAAAGCATAATTTTAAATCAACGTCCTCTCGAGAACTACAAGACCGTTATCTTGATAAACCGCTCACTAGTTTCTGCACGTAAACGAGAGTATACTTTGCCCATGCATTTCCCCCAAACTAAACTTGAGTTTGTTAAGTTAAGAAGAAATCCAGCAGAAGGTCGAGTAACAAGTGGGCAAAAACTTTATTTACAACGTATCGCAAACGTCTGTGTAACTGTTTTAAGCTATTGTTGATATATTCCTAACATTAAACCCCTTCGTCTTTGGTGTAGCCTACGTGAAGCTGTAGCCACTCCCCGAGGAAAAAGGTTTTTCGTCGGGAAGGTGGGTACGGCTACACGTAGGTTATCTTTGATGCGATTGAACCAATGGGCATGAGCCTTTGTTCCTGATGACTAGCGGCAGGACACATTTGCCCATAGATACGTGGTGTAATAATCATACAATGGAGTTCAGCAACCGGCAGGGCTGATGGTTCTCACGCTATAAAGAAACTGACAAGGACTTTTTTTCAAAACCAGACAAATATTTTGTTTTTAAATTCTACTTTATTGGCCGCGGTTCAGCACCACGTACTGATCACGTGAATGTAACATAATCGTTTCATTTTTGTTTAGCGATTTTCTTAAAACAAAACTCGATCACGATTGCTGAATATTGCTGAGTGGGGTTATCTGTCACGCTTGCTGCACGAGTGACAGGATGAAACTTTATAGTCGGGGCAGCTTTGGAAATAGCTGGAATGAGTGTATAATAATTTAAACAGAAACACATCAAAGAGTTACATGAAAGTGACTGCCCACACATCAAATGTTAGTGTAACATTTTAGATCAATATATGTGATATCTCCGAATCAGGGACTGAGAGGGGAGTTTTTTTAAACGCTTGAGTAAGCCAAAAAACAAGCACCTATCGGTTCAACACTTACGCTGAATGCAAAATAGTTCTTATTTTGTTAACTGAAGCAAATTGTGAAACTAGTCTGTACAATATCGCTCATTGTAATAAGACTACAAAATCTTTTGCAGATAAACATTACAAACTCTATACAATAAACTGTCTATTAATATGTCAAAAATGAGTAACGTTGATTGTAAAACAACGAACATTCTAAAAGTTTCTTCTTGACTGACTAACAGATGATTTCCAGTCCGTACTGCGCACTCTCAAGAGTTTGTTTGCGTTTTTTTGTATCGTTTCGTTTACGACATCACAAAATGTAAACATTTAGCAACTACTTACATGAAGTAAATTCAAAGTTTCAAAACAACCGCCATTATGGATGCGAAGTGGTCGAAGCTTTATGCTTCGTTAACGTTCTTTCTCATATCACTTGATGAAACAACTTCGCAGCTGTAAAAAGCAATGAAGCTGTTGGAAAAAGAATTTGACAGGCTTCAAAGATAAGGTATGTGGTTCGTAACGAATAACATCGATTCACATTTTATCGAGTGAGACCAATATAATGTGTATAAACATTGGGTGCTGAGACTGCGCAATACGGACTGGAAATCATCTTTAAAGCCAGTAGCGATATTACTAGTTCCCAGCTCCCAGAGAACCAGTTTACCGCTAAAAAAGTAAAGATGGCTAAAATAATGTAGAAACAAGTTCTGTTCAACAAATAAACTGCAGAGTTGTCAAAAGCCCATCTTACCAATCTAAAAATCAGATCTATCTTATCCCACGCATGCAAATAGATATAGAACTACCATGTATTTACAATACCTCACTATGATCACGCTAATGATTTACATGTTCATGAAAACTGTAAAGCTTATCCTTTGGACTATTTTCGTGAGTGGAAGTTTAGTTCCACTGAATGAGAAAGGAAACCAGCATATTTACAAAGTTAATGTTATTTTGGCGGCAAATCCAGCTGCAGCGAACGGTGAACCCTAGTCGGTTGCAAACGCGCGTTGCAAAGCGCGAGAAATTCAATCAGGGGCTCGTTTCTCGAAGGTCCCGAAAAGTTTTCGCACCCGGAAAGCCGGAGCAAAATCTCAAACCTTATCATTCCAGAACTGTTTTATTTACATATTCTTAATATGACCGGAAGTTCCCTTCATATAAGAAATTTCAGGCGTAAACACCTTTCTGTTTTTTACAGATTATCTAAAAATGGCTTTACGGGCCCGAAAAGTTTTCGGGGCTTTCAAGAAACAGGCTCCAGGGTTAGTCTGGGCTTTGATTCTGATTGGCCAAAAGACAATAAGATCGCGCGAGTTTCCCAGTTTTAACCAACTGTAAAAATGAGAAAAGACAGGAAAGCAAAACAAGCTCCCAGAATCACGATAAAAGAGCTCTATCTATACAAGAATTATTCAACTCTTCAGTTGTTAATTTTTTTTCGTATTTATATTAAGGAACTTTTTCCCCTTCAAATTTTTGTATCCAAGCCAAATTGGCTTAAAGATCTGTCCACGATAAACTACCGCTTCATCGTCGATGCTACATCATTTTCTTTTTCCCTACTCCCAATTAAAGCTAAGAATAATCTAATAAATACTAAAAGTACAATAAATGATTGACGTTTTGCGACCGCAGCACGTGAGTCACGTGACTATGTGTGAGTTACTGATCGACTCCTGCTCGGTTCTTCTACGTCGCTGGTCCTGCGTTTCTTGAATTTGGTAGCCGTCGCTCTTATCTGAGAAAAAAAACCCAGAATGGATAAGAATAAGAATAAGAATACAAAAGGCTAGGCCATTGATCGAGACAATTCAAACTCGATCGAAACTACAGAGAAAATAATCTTATTTGGCACTGTTTATTGTACCACTCGAGTTCTTTAATTTTCGGGGATGGAATCTGAGCTTATGACTCTTCTGACAAATGAAAGCTACATTGAACAGTATTGTCACGCAGTCCTGGTTATTTTGCTGTAGAGTTTGGTTATGCGGATGACGCCCTAGTGTGGACAATTGAAATGAAACATGCTTAGCAGTGCGGTGGAGTGGAATTGTTTTCCTCTGAGAAAAAAAAAAATATTCGCCCTATCTACATCATGATAATAAATATTGATTAACATAACCACAACAAACCTGTTTGAGATGCTCAGCATTACGGAATGTCCGTTTGGCTAGGTTGACCTGTTCGGCCTTAAAATAGACAATAATATAACGTTTTAGATATTGTCTTATAAAGCAGCAAAAAGTCGCCAGTGGTTTCACGATGAAACGGCATTTGATCAGTTTCGTTCTCTGACGAGGCTACCATACTCAAGCTCAAGCTATCCAGTTACGAAATTTTATTTAAATCTCATTTCCAGACTCAAAAGTGACGAATTAATTCCTTTTTAAAACACTACCGGTTTACATAATCAACCATTCCTGTTTTAAATCAATATTTCATAGAGTTGAGATTAAAGGTCTTTTTATATCTTGATCGCCACTTTAGAAATGAGGAGACGTCTGAGGCGAGTATTATCTCACAGTGACTTGTGGGACCGTTTCTGGACAAAATAGAGGTTCTCATCTTTTGTTTTGTCCCTAGAAACGGTTCCAGAAGCCACCACGAGATGATACTCGCCTCAGATTTCGCTTCGTTTCCAAAGTGGCGACATTTTGTTTCATTCAATATTTTAATGGTTATGTTCAGTTATATGTTTATCAGGTGTTTATTATTCCCTCCACTGTTAAAAAAAAAAATCAAAATTACATAAAATAGAAAAATTCAGCAGCGTGTAAAAAGGAAATAGTAAGTCACCTTGGAGTTTGTTTCAATTGAGTGTCGTAAAACCAAAACCAAAGGAATCACTCTGGCCAATCGAAAAAATAACACAGACAATCCAGCAAACCAATCCAAGTTCAATGTAAATACATGCAGCTGGCGCAAAGCGCGGGAAAACGTGTACGAGCGAGTCATGATTGGTTTTGGTTTTACTTCTGATTGGATGAAAAAGCGGCGCGTTTTTTTTAAAGCCAATCACTTAGCGTGGTTATGCAAACCCAAAGCAATTGGGTTTAGATCTACTTTTTGACATTTAGGAGAAACCTGCTCTACTATTGTTACAAATTAAAACAAGGTGTAATGCAACTCTTTAACAATTAAACACTTCAACAGAAATTATAATTTAATTTGATTGAGAAATTAATGTCAAAAATTATTGGTCAAAATGTTTGTTAACCGCAAATACTCTTATTTGATTAATTAAGTTTTGTTACGTAATTATTTACCAGTATATGTTTGTGTTTATTTGAGCTACCTTAGTTATCAACAATAGTTTCTCATTAGCATCCAAAGTCTCTCCCGTATCAGGCTAGAGATAAGAGCAATGTTAGTTCATTGTTAGTGAAAGCATTAGCGCTCTGATTGGCTAAAGCAATGATACAAAGTGCGATTAAATGAGTTGATAAGTGTTAAACGCCATGTTGAATGAGCACGCGACTGTATAGGAACGAGAGGTGAACACATGACCAATGAATGCACAAGAACAGTGTGACAAATAAGGGACTAATAGGCCCTTTGCACGATCCGGTCACATGGTACGGATTTAATTATGCTGGGACACAAGTTACACGGTGGGATTTCCAAAACAAAGGAACTCGTACCAGTCCAGCCCGACTTTCCTTTGTTTTGAAAGTCCCACTGTGTAACTTGCGTCCCAGCATAATTAATTCCGTACCATGTGACCGGATCATGCAAAGGGCCTATTCGCGACCGTATCACGTAAAGCTGGAGAGAAATGCTGAGAGAAATTAGAAACATTAGTGCATTGGGATAATAGTATAATCTTAAACCTGTAACTCAGAGAAAGAAAGTCAATTTATGAATATGCGACGCATTCAGAAACAATTAGTAGCTTGTAAATCTTGGGGTTCCACTTAACATGTTAAGGTTTTGAAAGGGTACTTAGATCGAAAACTATTAACAAAATGTTAGTGAAAATACGGCAACCAAAGCAGGAAAAGTTTAAATAATAAAAATGTAACGAAATAAATGTACATCATATAATTAAATCCGTTAGAATTAAATCTGGCGCAAAGAGGTGTAAGTAGCTGTATTACTATGTAACCAGTGTGAGTGACAATAAAAAAAAAAGAAAAATAACAAAATAATAATAATAATAATAAAATACTCGGCGCAAACATGTACAAAGACAAAATGCATTAGAATACGAAGCTTCATACCTTCCAAAAGTTCTTGAAAACCTCTAGGAAATTTCCCCAAATGCCGAAAAATAATGGCGGGGTAACCTAAAAGAGAAATTTGTAAAGAAAGTTACAACGACAACAGCAAAGCGTGAATTGTACGAGAAAAACAGAGTTTATTCCGGACAGAGATCTCCAACGGCCAAGCAGAGTGAGATCTGAGTACGAGAAAAACATACTCACCTCCTCTCCTTCGCCAGTATACTGGAAATAATCCACCACTTCCTTGAAATCTTCCGTCGTTGCTTGAACCTTTTTTTGTAAGCGAGAAAGCTCCTTTTCCCCTGGAATGGATAAAAATGGTGAAAGTGTAAGGTGATTTTCCAAAAGGATGAACAATTTAGCCAGAAACCAGCTCAGTTGTTGATAAACGTCATAAGGGTAGCGGGGTCTGCTTTGTTGAGAAATATTAAAACTGCTGCTGAAAGGCAAAAATGATGTGCTCACCTGTTTGCAAATATTCTTTCACAAAACTTTCAAACGGCTCTCGATGCTCTGGATTATCTCCTACAAGTACCATTTCGGACTGCAAACAGAAAGAAGTCTCCTAGTTAACTATGTTTAAATTTCAACGATGTTACCAAGGCCCTGAAGGGGTAAAACGGAAAGTGGGAGTCGCCTATTTTTTTTTTCACTGGGACTGAGAATCACCAAACAAAAAAATGGGAATGAAATTGGGATTTGGACAGAAAAAAGCTGAGAAACTTGGACAAAAAGTTTTAGGTTGCTAACTGTAAACGAACTGCTGAAAACCAACTCACCTTGGCCTTACAGGTTGCTAACGATATCTTAGCTTCAGCGAGTTCTGAAATAAAAAGAGCAAAGAAGATGAGATTTCGAACCCAATGAGGAACAAAAACATCAAACTTTTGGAAGAAGAAATGATGGAGTAATCGTAAAGGTATAAACATACCATCACAAAGAAAAAACAAAATTACCTGCTTTGATATCCTTGAATGAAACCTGTGAAAGAGAGAAATTATTTTAGCTTATCACTCTTGTAGGAAGTCCCCTAGGAACTAATGGCTGCAATTCTATTCCCTTACGTACATTACTGGGAGCAGAGGTGGTACGGTGACGAGGGCGCTCGCCTCCTGCCAACGTGGCCTGGGTTCGAATCCTGGACCAGGCGTTAGTAATGGGTTGAGTTTGGATCTCGTCTTAGCTCGAAAGTTTTACTCCGGGTTTTCCGTTTTTTTGCCCTCCACAAAAAACCAACTCTCCAATTTCTCATTCGATCTTGATGCACATAAACTTTTTTAGTGTCTCGTAGATAAATAAAAATTTCATTTATTTTTACCCTACGTAGTGGTTAGAGATATTGGGTGGCATAGCAAGAGGTCTACTATAAACCAGACCACCATCTGCGCACATGATGGTAAGATTGAATTGTTATCCTCTATTCACAATAGTCTACAAAGAGCCCAGTTTGACCATATTTCGCTCGATGAAAGCACATTTCTTCTAAATTGTACACTAGCTCCAATTTCCCTGGATATAACCAACATTAAAAATACTGTGGTATTTACAACAAAAATACGTGACGGAGTCTGACTTCATAGAAATGTGAGAGCAGGATTTCGTGTAGTGAATATCCTTGTTATTCAGCAGCTAGTCGTGTTGATGCCACGTGTAACTGGCTCAAAACTGAATAAAACGCTTTTAAAGGGAAAAAACCGTTAGATCCTGTTGACGAATAAGGAACTTAATTATGTGCTTAAATCAAAATTAAATTAATTTACCTGAGCAGCAGCGAGGATGGAGTAAGGGTCTGGTAGGTTAAAGTCCCCTCTCTCGCCTCCATGTCTCTTGTCACAGTAGACTTGCACGAGGTATTTCATAAGATTCGACTCATTGTCCTGAAGCAAAATTAACAATAAAATAAGGTAACTGAATTTTGTCGGCTTCCCAATTGAAATGGACGAATGGGGAACGTCTTTTCACTTGATATCGAAGTGGCTACTTTGGTTAAAAAAGTAGCGACAAGGGAAAAATCCCGGGGGCGGAACTCCTATATAAAAAGGACGAAGATGTTCTTCAGAAATTTTGAAAAGAACCCCGAAGAGGTACCGAGATCCTGTTTTTTGGGTGTGGCTTGATTTTTTTTTCCCCCTGTGGACCTTTGAGGCTGAACAGTGAACACCGTAAGAGGTACCAAAATCGCTCAGTTTTAGCCCCTAAAACTTACGACGGGAACAACCGTCCTTTATAGGAGTCTCCCTTCCCCCCCACGGTGGAAAATGTGGTCGGTTTAAGTAAATCAAGGCGCATTTATGTGACATTAATCGTACATCTATTCTCGCAGTCTTTACCCACCTGTGTTTTGACATCTCTAATTTTATTAAGAACGCTCAACTGGAACCCGTCTGCTTGTCCTCTGTTCGTGCCTCCATTCATGAAGTTTCCAAGAGTCAGGATTATGGACAAAACAAATGACAAGTCGTCGCTGAAATAATAAAAAAAACTCTAAATGAAAAAAATATGTTTTTTTGCATTGGTCTACTAGAAGTCTTATGGCCATCCAGATCGTTAGTAGTGTTACTGATACAAATTGTTAACCAAATCATCTGGCCATCAGTCTGTTTTGTTAGTGACCGGGGTACTTACTTTGTGCGAAGCAAACTGCTAGCCTCGCATATGGCAGATAATCTTCTGTCTAAAGAGAAGAAAAGAAAAAAGTAATTAATTAGTAATAAATAAGTAATCAGTTAGTCATTAATTAATTGATCAATTAGCCGATTCCATCTCCCATCGTCTCCTTGCATTCGGCTGCACTCACAAGAACATACAGAATACATGTAGTTCCAAGGCCACAACTCCGCACTGACGTTTGACGCTAAAGTAAACAAACACACGTTCGTACCCCAGGGGTAAAGATCAAACCGAGGTGCAACGACTGTTCCAGCCCTATCCCTTCGCCCTTTTAAGTTACACTGTATTCTTATACATAGGCATGGCCTTACCAATGGCCGTTAAGGTTTCCTTGAATTTATTTCTGGTTAGCCAGCACTCCAGTCGTTCTGCAAAGTGATCCATCTTATGTATTTGAAGTAAGAATTCCTCTGGTTTGTCTAGGGGAACTGAAAACAAAAAACCAAGCAGAGAACACAAAGAAGATGAGTTAAGCTCAGAGACGCAAAAGCGAATAAGTATAAATCAGTCATACAAGTTTATTAGTTGGATCTTCTATTTGAAAACTATTTTCCACTTAACAAATAGATACCATGTTGCCGTGCGTTTGTTCAGATCATAGATCACGGATAACGTGAAAATGTGGTAAGAACAAAAAAGGTGGCACACGGAACGATAGCCGAGAGTGTCACTGACGTTCTTACCACAGTTTAACGTCTTTTGTGATCTTTTACGGAACAGACGCACGGCAACATGGCATCTATTTGTTTTATGTAATAAAGAAACTAACCTCTATCCTCCGGTAGATCATAAGTAAAACCTAATCGAAATGCGAGAAGAAATTTCTGCCTGCTTTGCGCACAATTACGAAAGAGAAATTAACATAGTTTACCAAGACTTACCGTTTGGATTATCTTGTTGATATTTTGTAATCATTTCGATTTCATCTGCTTTTGGGCGAATGTCGTACAAAGCTTTCAATCTGCAGGTGAAACGTATAAGATGCCCTTGTAAAAAATTCAAAAGCACAAAAGTACTTTGGTGTGAAAATGAATAATTTAATACCGAACATAGTTTCATGTGACAAATGGGTGGGACATTGGAAATTTCTGACGCTGAAAATCAAGTCTGTGCTTAAAACAGGAAGCTGCGGCTTTACCAAGTTGATTTTGGTGTCTAAAGTCAAAACTTGAAGACTTAGCTAAACATGTATTCACTAATTAAGGGCATTTGTGCGTTACGGGTCCCTTAGAAACAAGATGTCTGTGGCTACCAAGAATGAAAATGTATACATAAGTGTGGATTGAAAAGCCATGAACAGCTGTTACGGTGTTGCTGAACCTGGTGGAAAGAATGCTAAATTTCATGATCATCCTTAAAAGGTACCAATTCCAAAATCTTCAATTGATGAGTGATTAACGCTTGCTGACCAAGAATCAAATTTTAAATTACAGACGAGAGATTTGCGGTTAACTGCTACTTGAATGCATAGCGGCGTTGTGGAAATTTGAAATGGAATGGCCAGATTGGTACTAGAAAAGGTCAGAGTTTTGTACCTTTTTTTATCACGAGCGTGCATCACCGCTAGTACCGTATTGAAACATGGAATGAGGGTGATATCCTTGTGGGAATGTGACACGTTATGTATGTTGCCTTACCCGTCCATGTCAATGACAGAGGTATCCATTTTGTAGACGGCGTCTCTGATGTCCTCCAGTTGACAGCTCAGGCTGCTCATGATAATACCAATAGTCTGAGATCGGCCATTATCAAGCAGCTTGGCGGCCTAGAAACGAGCAAGATACACCAAGAATCAGAATACTACAAGGTAGGTAAGTGATTGATAACAAGGTTAAGTTTGCATCGGGCGGCGTGTCCGCCCATCCCGCTACGGCCTATTCCAGTTTGCCGTGAAGCATCAAACGAGCAGGGGATTGTTACTCCACCCTGGGTAGAATGCTAGTTCATTGGAGAGTTTCCCCCCTGCATTTAGTTTGCCGATATCCATTTATGCACCTGAGTAGAGAGAAGCATTGTAACAGTGTTGCGTTGCTCACGAACACAAGGCAATTACTCAAGCCGGATCGTCAAACCGGAGTCTACCGCGTTAACCATTAGGCCAGCGCACCTCCCTTAGTCAAGAAATTAGACAAGGTACAGATGTTAAGACCAAGACAAAGTTTTGACGATGAACACTTACATGTGGACCTTTTGAATGTGAGAAGTGGCTATCATCTTTAAGAGTGCTCCTCCTATCACACTTAGACTTCTTTTTGCCTTTGCGTCCAAACAACCTGTACAGAAAATAGACAATTGTTCTGTTCAAGTCCTCTCTTATTCTGGCATCTGGAAAGTTATGAACCTTTTCTCTGATGCATTCTGACGCATTCACACACACTGCATCTAACTCGCAACAGAAAAAACAAATAAACGCCATACTTTTGGAACTCTTTTCTGTTAAAATCCATCTCCGTCACGTGTTTCCAAATGATGTTCTTGGGTTTGTTGTTGTTTAGGTCACCACCATCTTGTTCATCTGAAACAAACACAAAAACAGGATTCCAATACCAAGCTAAGCTTTTAGAATTGTCATGTCTTCATACTTGAGTCCAAAGAAGACTGCAAACTGTGATCAGGTCTAATTTCTCTGTTGTGTTCGTCTCATATAAGAATCCCCTCGTGCTTCCCATGTAGTAAGGGTTTTTTTCCGAGAAATCTTAAATAGAGTATGTCGCAGGTAATCTAGTTGTTTAATTCTCAGGCAAGACGATACAAAAACAAACTATTTAAAAAACCAACCTGATATTAATATTCTTGTCCAAAACAGTGGTTTCATTTCCACATCGGGTTTGATGGCAGCTTTCGTCGGCTTGGCTCCTCCTGCCAGGCGACGTGCGCCAGGACCCATTGGAGGTGGCGGAGGTGGCGGTCCGCCACCAGGAAGAGGGGGAGGTGGTGGAGGAGGACTTATTGCCCCAGGGGGTGGTGGAGGTGGTGGAGCAGGGGGCCCTGTTGGAGCTGGAGGAGGAGGAGGCGGTGGTGGGGGTGGAGGTGACAAACTGGACACGGAACTTGATCTAGAGAGATCTGAAGATGTTTCACTCCCTGCTGTTCCTTCAGAGTTTGTCATTTCTTTTGCTTGTTCAATTTGATGTTTCATCTCCTTTATCGTTTCTTGGTATTTAGTTACCTCTGCTACATGCTCGGTCTTGATTCGTTCGATTTCGTTTTTAAGGAATTCCGCGGTTTCTTTGTCCGATTCTTCTGTCGTGTGTTGATTAACTTTTGCTGCCTTAGTAGAAGAATCTCTTGCTGTAACCACTTCACTTTTCTTCCCATCATCGACACCATTGACTATTTTGATCGGTGAGCTTTTTAGCACCTTAGTAGGAGCCCTCTCTTCCACTTCTTTGTGATTAATAAATGGCGAGGCTTTTATAGATGGCGTAATTATATCAGCCTTTTTACCAGTATTTTCCTCCTCATTGGTCTTCTCGGGAACGCCCTCGGGACCAATCTTTCTTCCCTGAACAATTACCGGAGCTTTAGCCACGTAGGACTGCGTGGCGGGCTTCACCTGGGTGACTTTTCCTTCCTGTACGGCTTTTTTCAAGGGAACCACTTCTCCGTTTTGATGGGCGATCGGTTTTGCTATGTCAGTAACTAAACCAGATTGAGCCTGTTGAATCTGTGGGGCCTTGTGCACAGACCGTTGTGGCGTTGACGACTGTTTGGAATCATCAGTCACAGAACCGGTTTGAACCAGTTTAACCTGCGGAGCCTTGTGGAATGACCGCTGAGTGGATGATGGTGGTTTAGAATCGGTTTTGGAATTTTCTGTTTTCGCTTGATCATTACCGCTTTTTCTGTCAGTGCTAATCATGTTGGAATGCCCATCTGTTTCTGTTTTCTCTTCCTTCTTATCTTCGCAATTGCTATCCTGCATATTTTGAGTACTAAATGATTGATCCCGTTCAAGAAGGGCTGCTAATCCTCTGGAGAGAGATTTAGTCGCATTTGTCTTCTTGTCGGTGTCTGCATCTTCGGAGACCTTATTTGGAGTAGCGCGTGAAAGAGTGTTAATTTCCCTCCTGGGTACTCCTCCTGGTCTGGCTGTTTTCTTCAAGTTAGGAGTTACCCAAGCCGGTTTAGCTTCTTCTTTTTGCGTTTTGTTGAAGCGCTGTAAGAACAAATTACAGTAAACATGAATTCTAAGCGTGCACTCCCTACATAATGTTTTATGTTTTTCCTTGGACACCATTTCAGTCTTTGAAGGTTTTCAAGGAGGTTTGAGACCTGACAAAATGTCTATCATTAAGCAAAAATAAACGGGTTAGAGCGTGGGTGAGAAATCAACTTATTCTTGCTCAGAAACTGACGTTGGAAAGATATGTAAGCGCCTACGAGGAACATCACAAAAATAGCCAGAAAATTATGTACCGTTTTTTGCGAATCACGGTACTCTTATGCGATCAAAGAAACAACAGTCACTCCAGATGGTGTCACGCTAGGTTGAAACTGAATGGTCACGCGGAAGTGTCACATGACCGAATAACAATTTGCTTGTTTCTAACGATTATTAAAGGAAAAAAACGTTTTAAAAAACGTTTGTAACCTTCTGGTTTGTCATCAACGCGATCACTTCTGCAAACAACCATAGAGTTCGCAAGACACACAGTGCGGGTTCCGTTTACTTAAAAGCAGATTAAAAAGATTAAAAAGTTGTTAAAATTTCAATCCCCCATTTGAGGTGCATTTTTAACAGGTCAGCTTCTAAAGTTAAAATTTGCGATAAGTCACCCGGTTTGAGACTTGCCAGTAGTCAGCAATGAATAAAATGACACTAATAACACTTTGACACTAATCTGGATTATCTTGACAGGCTGGCGTTTATGGGCATGGGAGGGGTGCGGTGCACGGATAGGGGAGGGGGTGGTGTCATGGTCAATCAGAGCCTTCTTATTATAATATGATTACAACGTAATAAAGATGTCACCTGTGTTCTTGAATTGACGGTGGTCGCCATGTTGTTGGGTGATTGCGAGTTTTCTGTCCAATAAAACAATTGTGAACCGTCCTCAAACAGTCGAGATCTGCCAATGCTTTTGATAAATCCTTCTTTGAGGACGCCCTGGAGAAGCTCTGTCGCCTGTTCTCGAGTGGAATATCTTTCTGGCGATTTTTCTACTACCCTGTCAACCAAACTTGATCCTTCAAACACCTTCTCGTAAGTGTTACCTCCCCAAGTCTTTGGGAATACCTTAAGCAAAGAAGAAGAGTGTGATTAGAAAATGCCGGATAGTCAGTGATTTGCTCACAAAATGAAACTTTCGTTGGCGCAATCGTGTAAGCGAACACGTAAACAAGACATTGACATACTGTGTACTTGACTTTAGGTTCAACTGCAATGAGAGCTTTTCTATCCCAACATTGCACCATTTCATCTATTTTAAGGCCTGGCGAAATTCGATCTCCGCCAGACTGATTTGACAAAATACGCACTGTGACGGACAAAAATACACGGCTGTGTGTTTCTCGACCCAGACAAACTACTCTGCTAGGATCGAAAGGTCGACAAGTTGGAAACAGGAAACATCACTTCCTCTTTCACGGCCTGCCTAGAACTCGAAACGTATATCTGCTAACCGGGTCGACAAAAAGACGACATCAAAAAGGCTTCTGTGATTGGCCCAAAAAACTTCAACTGACACTGAGTAGCACATTCCGTTCTTTATGCCAGTTTCGTTCTCGAGAAAAAGAGAAAAAGAAAGTGGAACTTTATCTTCTACACCGGGATGGTTATAATTGGCCGGTAAATAACTTGAAAGCTAATGAACTAGAAACATTTTCGGCAAATGAAAAGAGATTGGAAATTTTGAACTCACTTAACTATCCGCCAAAGAACTCTGAAAATTCCATGTTTTGACCGAAGTTGGTTTATCTTTGGGGTCGGCAACAACAGTCCAGCTGATATATGCTTAATAATTTTTTTTGTCATCTGATTAACACAGAGACCACCTCGAAGGTTGTTTTTCCGATATTCCTTCGTGAAAAGAAAGATATCGATCCAAAGAAACATCTGGAGGTAACGCCTTAAAATCAGTTGAGCACAAAACTAAAAGTGTTCAAGTTGAAAATTAGGCCTGTACAAGAACTGATCTACCTTACGAACAGACACCTGAAAGTCTGTACACATGGTAAAGATCACAGGGTTACATTTTCAACTCTATATATGTTAGGAGTAGCAATAAGTCATAAATCCTGAGAAAGTCTGATAATTTCAAGTGGTCCGTTCTTTCAGAGTGTTGATGAATTTAACTGAACAAAAATATCCATAGAGTCGAGGAAACCTCGTGGTGGTCTACTTGAAGTGACAAGTAACCACAACGGAAAGGTTTTCCTGTCTGCCAATATTGCACCAGTTATATAATATTGAGATATTCAATCAAATGGCTTCGTGGACAATACTGATGTCATTCTATTAATTTAAGCCGAGATAGTTATCAGCGCAAGTGCCAAAAAAAAAAATCTGAAAATAGGCTTAACTCAAAATTCTTGAGAGGAAAAACATGTTTACTTTGAAAGCCTTCGTTTGTTGTAAAAGATTCCAACTTTTGAGAATCCTCCTCTTTTTAAGTAAACAGTGTGAAGGACATAAATAAATATTAACTGATTTATCAATCTTAATGCCCATATATGCGCATATACTGGCCATGCTCTCAAATTTGGGCCGCTATGTGGTTTTAAACATTCATAGTTTATTTTTACGTTACTCAAGCTCTTAAAACATTGAACTGTAAACTCAAATTTATATCATCAAAAAGAAACCGATCGATAATTCAGGTAAAACACACACTGAACGATAAATAACTCGACTTTTTAAACTTGTATCAACTTGAAGTAACAAATTACAGCGAAGACCTATAAAGATAATTGTACGAGCTAAAGTTGACATAACCATTTCCCTGCGCAGTGATAACGTACGCAATGATAAAAATAAACTACCGGATTTGCTTGAATAAATTTCGTTCAAAGCGTAAAGAGAGCATGAGTATTAGATAACAGCTGGCGACTTCCATCGGAGTGTAGCCTCGGTTTAATTTGACGTAAGGTGGCTGACTTCGGCAGTGTGTTGTAAGAAGTTGATCAGAGCGTCTGATCGCCGCTTAGCTAACATAGAGACAAAGTAAACAAGCTTCACCGACAGGGCTAATGCGTCTCTGACGAAAAGACATTTCTGAATGTCCGAGAAAGGTACACCGATTTACAGACAATGGGATATTGCATTTGGCCATGCCGAAACTAGATTTCGCGATAAAAATAGATACTTGTTTCTTTGTATCAGAAAACCTGGGATCTTATCAAAGTAGAAGATTTCCAGCTTTAGAAATATGATGAATATACGAGTTAAAAATATCACAACAACAAAAAAAATAAGCAAAATATTGTGCTTTTTCAGCCTGAGGACACGTCGAGGTGCAGACAGACAGACACTGACAGACAGACAGACAATCGAAATGGGAAGAAACCGAAATCTGTATGCCACCTAAATACAACAACTATGTTTTAGCGATTCTGAAAGTGACGAGGATCAAACCAGGAATTAAAAATAGCATCTTGCACACAAAGTCAAGAAGTGACAATATTGACAGTGTTATGAAAGCTCAACCAAACCTGCGTGACGTTAAAAACCTGTCTGCTTCTATATTAGGCTACACCTCCGTTAAACTGGATGGGATACTCAATGAGTGATATATTAAAGAAAACAGGGCTATTCAAATCTTGTTGGACAAGCTCTAATGCAGAATTGTAAACGATCGGAAGCTACATCCGAAAAATTCAGTAACATAAGAACTTTAAGACCAAAGAAAGGTAGAGTAAAGGAAAAAATTATGCAAAGCTTGAATTGAAACGAAAGCACTCCGCTTACTTCATCAAAATTCCAAAGGGCATTGCTCGCTCGCGAATTGAGCAGAATGCATTTGCGATCGATTTAAAAAGCCTCAATGGTCCGTTTTCTAATCAAGACATATTACCTGAATACCTTATTTCCTTGCTTGTTAAATTTCTTTAGTTGCAGCTGAATCCTTTAGCGATGTGATGCTTCGTTGAACACAGAACCCTTCGGCTTTGTTGCTGTTGGTACGTACACTTGATATGAAAGACTTCAATGTTCACTGGCAAAGAAGGAGGGGTTAAACAGCTGTCCGGATTACAGCGCGCGCGTGACCTTTTTACGTAGATCCTCCGAAATTCCTGATCATTATAGAGCTTATGCCTCAAAACGCCAAGTCACAAATCGCGCCGGCTTCCTACAATTTCCTCTAAAGTCACTGCTATATTTCTTTTCAGTTTATGGCGCAAGTAAACATTTGTGGTCTTTTATCTACCTTTTGTTATTGAAGCCCCTCACGTCAATAAAAGATGTTAAGTTTACGTCATCAACATGATTGATTGAGAGCAATATCCAAAGCCTTTAATCAACGTATCTCTCCTTTTGATCCAAATAAGATGTTTTAAAGCAGACATGAACGTGAGCGAAATATCCCAGTTTGTAATATTATATTTAGATTAGATATCTTTGCGCTACGTCCGGAAGTCAGCTACCCAAATTGTTCGCATTCCTGTAATTTTTTTTCCACAGACAGTTCGAACGACAAGCGTGGGTGTCTTCTCAAAATAAAAGTCAAATGTGTAATCCCCGAAGTTTGAAAATAGCTTAAGTTAAAATCAAACGATTAAAACAGAATTTACTTCGGATCAGGTCAGTTTCACCAAATCAACAAGGCCGCGAATCAGCTAACTTGTTAAAAAAGAAAAAAAATCCCAGCCTGTGATCGAAACTGCAAGATTTGCTTACTAAGTAGCCATGCTAGTTTATGTCTGTGCTGTAATCGGAAGAAAAGCTATTTTTATAGTTTCTCTTGACGTGCAATTGAAACAACATTGTGACAGTAAAAATTATGATGCGATAAAAGCAGCCACGAGTGATATTGGTCACGTCAAGTGTACCCACCTGGATAGCGTGGGCTAAATATATATCTTTCTACGTACAGGAACACCGGGGGAAAAAATCGCGGGAGTATTTATCTGATCACCGCTATTGAGAAATCGGACGTTTCTAGGAAAGAACGTTGGTTTCGGAAGGATGCGCGAGGGGTGGAACCGAGTCTACGGGCACCGCAAAGAAGCCAAGGAGAAGAAAATTGAGCAGAACTGCACGCAATCACGCAAGGCATTCAGTTCTGAATTAATTTTAATTGAATAAAGATGTGAAAACACCACGACAGCTGAGAACTCAACACGGATCGAAACGGTCAGAGAAATTAACCCTCGCTTAATTAGTATCCATTTTCTCTTAATATCATCTAGTGCATTGCCAACGGGCTGGTGTTGAGAATACGGGAAATAGTCAAGTGATGCATTGATGCGCAAAATAATTTCTTTGATGTCTACTTTCTAAGCCAAGCCTTCGCTATCTAAAACTTCAAAGGCTCGAGCCGAACTGATATGGCTGGCCTTGTACATGAAAACTCAGTACTTGGGAGGGGGAAAGGTCTGGGAAGGGGACGATCACGAAAATTTTCCGCGTCCTTTCAGCCATCAGTTACAATTTCAGCCCATTCCTCAGTAAACTTTGTAGGTGTCAGAACTCAGCTATCAGCAAAAAAATTCTCGTCACCGATTGTAAACTTCTAGTTAAACCCCATTCACACTCGACAGGGGAAAGCAAATTTTTCCAACTCAAGGCCAAAAATGGCTGTCGTGTTTCCGTTTTTTGCTTTTACACGATGATTTCACGAGTGACATCGCTGAAAGATGCTCTATTGAAAGATCTGGTGAGGAAATAACCCAACATGGAAAAGAAAAAGAAGGAAAACAATGACCTAGCATTTATGATGATTTCGATGTACATGCGACATCATGCGTAAACGGGACAGTCAGAGGTCACATTCATTACAGATGTATTCCACAGTGGGTTTGTAGGGGATATCTGTCAAAGCGGATAAGTTAGACTTCACAATTTAAGTCTAAACCGATTAAAATATCCTGTGCTCTGTAATCCTAACAGAGCTGAGGCCCTCAACAAAACAAAGAGAACATAGAAGTTACCCTTATATTTTAATTTGTGTTTTCAATTTCGTTTATTTTCAATCGCTGCTCATGTTTGGTGGGCGCGCAAATTTAAATGACTAAGAAACATTGACGTCAGTGTTTTGTAAACAGGAAATGTCTCTAATGTTTGGCATGACTGGTTAAAACGCGTTACTAATGGCATCCGGCAAGAAATAGTTGCATTGTAGTCCCAATTAATTGAATCTGTTCACGACATCTGCTTATATTTACGAAGTGAACGGAGAAATCCATTAACGTGGAACAGCGTTGTGTCTGTGTATTTTGTTTGTCCAATTATATCCCCGACCGACTGGCATCACTGTCAAGGTTACCATGGTTACCATGCACCTGACTGGGTCCCGGTCCCGTGGATGAGAACAACGACTGATTTCTTATAACACTCCTGGAGAAAATGGGAAGGGAGGGGGAGGTGGGGAGATTGTGCTCTTTGAGTCTCAACCTCAAACTCCATGTATCACATTAATCTTCCAGTTGAGACAGGATCAGGTCGAACAGAAACGGGTCTCTGAAAACGAATAGTAATAAACTTCCGACCGGATTCCCATTTCACGACTACGAAATTTTAACCCCGTTCTCACAGTTTGAACAAGATTACCCAAAATGCTAGCTAATTCAATACTTTCAATACTGAACAAATTCTCATTATTAAGTGGGAGTTATATTGTTTTATGAAATGCGTATTTATGAAATTGAGTGATGGTCAAGGACGGAAGTTCAAAGGTCTATCAATTAGTAAGATTACAAATGTCTAGTTTTAATTCTTCATTTAAACTTCATTTTGCCCTGTTTGTATCAAATCCAATAGTCCCTTTCCATTTCTCGTTGTTCATAATTAAACGTCTTAAAAATTACTCCAAAAATTCTTAAATTTTCATGAGTCCTCCCTACTCTAACCCTGTGAAGGCATTTGTAGATTGCATGAAATTTTCAAAGAGATATCGAAAAAATACATTTCGTGTTAAAAGCGTCTCCTTCCTTTAAAGCGGCAAGTGTAAAGAATTAAAAATAGAGCTTAAACCATTAACTGACGAGACGTCCTGCCAATAACCCTTTTAAAGTTTCTATTGTGGTGCACTGAGGCGGTGATGTTACCACGAGTAAAACAATATAGATATAGGAAGTCAGAGATCTAAACTAAGGAGTGGACCATTTGATTTTTGAGGGGTAGGGGGGGCGGTGGTTAGGTGATTAAAAAATATATATATATCCTTCAAGCATATTTGTACCAAAAAGAACTCATGCACACGACCAGTGAGCAGAAAAAAAAGACATTACATGGAGAAAAAATATCAAGCCAGAGATGATACACACGTTCTGAGAAGAAAAAAAATTAAATACCAAATCATCCACCCCTCCCCCCATCATTGAAAAGTAAAATGAAAAAAGACTGGCAGATGTTGTCAAACACTGCCTTGTGTTTTCGAAAAATCGATTAAAACAATATCAGTTTACTCAGTCTTCAGAAATTCATCATATTTTGGGTATGCACTGGGTGTAAGCTAGGGTACTTAGTCAATTTTGACACTGTTTTGACCAGAAATACAGCAGCAGAAACTCTTTGGTAGCCGGCCACTTTAGATTTCATTAATTCTGCGGTTAGTTTCGATATTAATGAGGTTCGCAACACGGAGCCGCTTAGTAAACATTTGGAGCCTCTGACTAAGTGGCCAGCAATAATTTCCTCCTCAACGTTTCGATATTAAGTGATGCATGTTAATCGTGAGAAAACAGAAAAAGCGAGTGATCACAAACGGGAAATCGTCTTTTAAAATAGGTCAATTCTCCAAACAAATCCTATACAAGATATGTCTTGAGACCAGTAAAGAGAAAAGTCATTTGCATACGCTGTCAAAGAGTGCCAACGACGTAACCAAGAGCAGCAGAAATGTCACGCCATGGATTTCAAAAAAAGCGAAAATTAACATACACGCGACGGTGACCTACGTCAATCCACGGTACTTAATTTGCTACTTTATACACACTTTTTGAGGAAATAAATCTTTTTCTTAATTAAATTCTGCCTCTTCAAATTTGTGCGGATGCTTCACTGACATTACCTGTAAAGTTACAGTCATATGGATTTTTGCAGCGGAGGTATGAAGGAAGAGTAGTTTACTCTAGCAAACAATAGAAGAAACGTTTTTTTCAGCGGGAGATTTCATTCTTGTGAATAGATCATACGTGTTTGTATGCGGCATGTGCGCGCAGAGTTTCATAAAAATCCTCAACAGTTTGAACTGATAAAACACCTTGAATCGATTCTCTTATTTTCCGAACGTGAAGAGCTTCGAACGTTAAAGAAGGAAATGTAAAGCATCACAGTTATTGGTGATTGACTTCTCTGACCGCTGTGTGTCCAAAATTATGCAGAGCGCCCTTAATAAAAATTGCTTTCGTAGCTTCACTTGCAGGTGTTTTGTGAACAATAAAAGCAACCAGTTATTTTCTCTTGAAAAGTTGTATATTAAAAAAACTTTATCTGGCGGAAAATTCTCTACTCACCGTCGTTGACGCGAAGGCACTCCAAACCAGCTCAGCGTCTTCGGCCGACAAGATACTTCTTAACTGTTTCTGCATTTGAGTGGCTTTTAATGTCAGAATACAATTATTCTAGAAAAGTCACTCTGTCATGAAAACAATTCAGTAAGTTATTTATGGCCTGGGGCCATTGAAGAGGTCACAAAGTTGTGTGTTTTGTCTGTTCTGTATTCGATCTCCAAAGTCTTGAAATATTTAATTCGATACTTGTACTCTCGATAAAGAATTGACCTCACGTTCCCTCCCTTCGTCTCGCATACAAGCCGAGTAAAAACATCACCAAACATCTGTTCCACTTTATTCTGTAAACATTAGTTTTATTGGTAACTCGTGCGGAGTCTAACTGAGATTACCTTTTGTGCTAAGCGGTCCACTTTCAACTCAGACAGAGCGCAATATTACTTAATGAGAGCAAAAACCGATACTGGACCTTATTTATGCAATCTTGTAAAGGGGCCTGTTGTCTGACAAGGAATTGAGGCGACTTGTGCCTTATGTCACTTATTAACTGAACATGCGAATGCATTAATGCACTCAGTTCTAAACTTAGGTCTATAAAAATGTCAAGAATTGGCAAGGACTTGTCATAGATAAAAATAACAGATTTCAGCTGCTCTCACGCAGTAGTTGACTTTTGAGATGTTTGTTCCCTCTTTTTCATTGTTATCAGTAGCCCGGGGTATATTTTTCCCAGTGTATCGTTTTGTCTATGGCTTTGCGACAATCAAATGACTGGGAACGTTGAAATAAACCGGTCCTGAGAATTTTGTTGGAATTCCTATCTGTAATTCGCGCTGTCTAGGAGTTTTTAATTTCACTGAATACTTCGTTCAATGTGACTTGTCCGAAATTATAGGTAAAAAAAACCTGTGAATACAGATTGACTCATTTACATTTAATATTATTAAGCGATGTCTCGGTCATCATTATATCAGGGAGAATTAAAGGCTTGAATAAAATGCATATCATCTCTAAATATCAGATCATTTTGAAGAAAAGGAGTAATTCCGGGAAAACTGTTATAATACGATGTAATACGGATGATTAAATTCCAAACTTCTAATCTATAAAGCTCTGAGCTGGATCAGTTTATAAGGTCAAGTGATACTCTTAGCTGGATCTTTCCGGCCCCATTAACATTCTCTTCGGAGAAATTGTCAAAAAATTGTAGACTTGCATAGTTTGCCATATTGGGCCAACGTAAATCATCTAAACGTTTTATTTTACCAAATATTTAACCTGCCAATCGATGAAAACAATCCACCAATGGATTCAGGATATCAGCTGATATTCCCAGCGATGCGAAGTAATTAGAGACGACATTTTGTAAAAAAACACAAGATATGAATCCAAAACTGCAATATAAGTTTGTTTTAAAAGTCATTTGCACTTGTTGCTTCATTTTTAACCTACATGTAAGCTGTTCTTCTCTTTAACGTTTCATTTGTATCATGGGTGACAAATTACTCCTTAATTTTGGCGCGAAATTTCAGCGCTAATTTATAATTTCACATGTGAAATTACAAATGGAACGTATGACGCGAAATTTATCGATAAAATAAACAAACCAAAAGCCCACAATTGTAAGCGTAATTTGTCACCGACGATGAAAGGTAACCGAATGGCATACTCGTAAAATTAGGAAATAGTTTCGCTAGCTTTTGGTCAAAATTATTATAATTTCCCTCGCGTAAAGGCTCGGAAAATTATACGAACTTTGACAAAACGCACCCGGAACTTATATCCTAATTTTACTCGTCACCATTTGATTATAATGATATATTATGTAGTGAGAAAAGAAAGGTCTGTTTAGCCATCTGGAGTAAAATACTAAATGTGTAACGCAGCCAATTCAGTTTTAATCCTTTCTGCTTGATCTTGCAGTTTCCCTACTCTCCATGGAAGCGCTGTCTTGTGGGAAAGAAGCAACAGATGAATTAAGTGATTTTTCTCCGTAGCCTTGAGTAATTTTACTGTCGGTACGTTCACAGCTCCTAGCCCTTGAGTACGGCAGGCCCCCGCTGAACTTGTGCGCGTGCGAGGGTTTCATTGCTTCGTAAACATGCTCACACCTGTCCAGAAGTGACATGTGGTATTCGTCGAGCTTCCGCGCGATGGAGGTTTCCACGGCCACGTAGTCATCCTCACCTTCTCCTGGAACTGGCATGTATTCACAGACCTTCCTTGTGGTGGGGAGTTCCATTGCCTCGTAATAATCTTCAGTTTCTTCTAGCACTTGCAAGCACTGGTCTTGCCTATCTGAAAAAGAGGGGCTTATAGCTTCGTAAACATGCCCATCTCCTTCTAGTGGAGACACGTATTCATTAACAATGGAGACATCCACTGCTTTGTGATAACCAGTATCCCCACTTTCCTCTAGCCCAGCTGAAAGTGCGTTCTCTTGAAAATAGCTCGTGGGTAGCAAGTCGTCTTTCACACTTGTAATCTGCGTTTCAAGCTTGTCAATTTCCGGCTGTAGACGTTCCCAATATTTCCTTATGTACTCTGCATTGCAACGGAGCTTTCTGATCGGAAATACGGTGACTTGAAGATCAACTGGGAGCTTCAGTATGGTAAACTGGTCGCGTAGTTCCGTGGTTGCGATCACAATGGACTCTTCCACTATTTCTTCAAAGCGAAACTCTCCTTTTAAGGCTATCCTAGCCTCTGGGCTGAACTTTACGTCTCCGATAAACCGCACAGCAACGGGAAAAGCAATGTTATCAGCGACGTACCTCAAAGAGTAGCGCCTTGGGTCGAACTCTTCAAACGACTCGAAAGGCATAACATAATCAAGTGGCAATCGTATTTCCCTATCGGGCTTACGAAGAATCTTACATGTTAAAGTTTCAGGTCCTGCTTTCTTTCCCCGCGGAGTTTCAGCCACGATTGGTTCCAGAATATCTCCATCTTCTAGATTCAGCTCAGGGATTTCTGTAAGGGTGCGCAGAAACGTGATCATGACTGAGCGTCGAGCGTGCGAACGTAGCCCACCTTTACTCTGCCGCGTGCGTGTTTTGGGAACTATCTCGACTCTGGCCGAGTTGTCTACAGGCAAGAAAAAATACCCGCCTTTCGAATTCTTCACTTTGATTCGCTTTAACCGCACAACTGTGTGAACTGTGATTATTTCATTCAATGAGAGCGAACACGCTCCTGTTGGACTGTCAACTCCCTCCAACACTTGGACTGTATAAGGAGGTCGGTATCGAATTATGAAGTTAGCAAGTGTGTCTTCAAGCGGTTGAGTCTTGTATCTTGTAGCTATAAAGTGAAAGACAAATTTCAGCTCTTTTTGTACTACAAAGACAATCATAAAGCTGATTTTGTGCCAGTATTTCAGAATGGAAATCTGTTGCTTACCCTCCACAGGCTGGGTCATATTCGATCCTTGGTGTCAAAATCAGTCAGTGTTTTCTAAAACCACTGTTCCTCAAATCTAGCTTACACTGAGTTTAAACTGAAATATTGTAATATCTGAATCGTATCAAGCAGTTTAAGTCTTAATTACGTAAACTTCCTCTTACGGGACAGCAGTTGTGAGAATTTAGTTTTACGTCTCACACTCACTCACTCACTCCTGCTCATTATGTCGGCTGGCATGTCTATCAAGACCTAATTATTCTCTTAGGTATCTTTAAGACTGTCCTTTGCATAAGGCTTATTAGCTTCCCTGGGCTTCCTTGCCTTATGTATTCATATTTTATAAATATATTTCAAAATGGCCAAAAAAAATAAATAAATGAAAATAAATAAATAAATAAATATATATATATAAATAAAACAAACAAATCCATACTTGACCAATTTTTTTGTTCTCCTCACCGATCTACTGGACAGATGTGTTGATGCTGTTAAGCGTTGTTGGGAGAAACAAAATGTTAATCACCCTCCGGGATTGAAGCTTTGTTTTCATTCAGCCTTAGGCAGTAAGTGAAAGATACATTTCATCCCTGTCAGCACACCTCAGCGCGTACAAAAACAATGAAATATTATTTACTGTCAGACCAATATCCGAATTAGCTAACTTTTGATTTTTTGTTTTCCCTTAAAGGAACTCAGTCACAGTATTTTGAGTTATTTTGGCCACATACAAAATTCGTAAAAGAATAGGCTTTAATTATTTAATTTAACTATAAAACATTGCAATAAGACAAAAGTTAAAACCATCACGGTTAAAAACTCTAAAAACTGTAAAAAACTCTAAAAAGCGACGACGTTTCGAC